TACTTCGAGGAAAGCCACGCCCCGCCGCTGTGGGCCCGCATCAAACAAGAGTGCCCGCCGGAGCGTACCTGAATTTGTAAATGGATAATTGACCGTACGCCCAAAGCAGATATCCCACCAGTCTGTTCGGATTCCTATCGCTCACTGTGTGGCCGTAAAAATCCTCCCTTTGCGCCCGTTTCCCCGTGGCACGAAGACCGAGGCTCCGGTGTCTTAGACTCCGAGCCACGAGAGTAGCCTTGCACCGTTGAGAACGGCCCCGAAAAAGGAATTATTTTTAGACCATATCACGTGATACAGTGAATGAAATGATCGTTTGGCTTTCTCAAAAGGCACACATTATGTTCCACAACCACGCCTCCCTCCCTCATACATCTCTGATACATACCGCCCTGCTGAGCCCGAGGCTTCAGACGAATGTCTACCCCGCCCCGGCAAAAGCGACAACTGACAGAGACAGTCAGCTGCTACGGCTGGCTGGGCGTGATGAGTGTCAAACAGAGAGCAGTCCTGACACAGTCGTTTGCCCACTGACTCTTCAGTCAGTCAGTTCTACGCCTCTTTACAACCGTGCGATTGTATGCACTCGCAATTTCAACGAACACATTCACTCACATTCGCTCGCACACAACGCTGCGATCCGTGCACGCCTAGATCACTTCGCTTATGAGGAAAAATGACACAAACGATACACACAGGGCAACAACTAATGGTAAAAATGTATTATCCGTCTAACGACCACGTCGGTAAAGAGTTCTGTCGAGGTTCGTTGAGCTGTGACATCGATATCATCAGAGTTAGGCATGTGACTGCTGGGATTCTCTTGTAGGTATGCGAGTTCATGCAACTTAGAGCGAACAATCCATACTACAAACAATTCTATTGGACGGTAAAAGGGTCTAGTTCCCTCTATGTTCATGGTGATGCAGCCGACAGATCAGCCTGTAGATCTTCACAAAGCGAAACAGTCCAAGACGTAGTATCCATCGCACACAGCTGCACAGACAGACACCAATTCGCTCTGCATTCAGATCGGTTGCAGCGAGGTGCGCTAAATCAGTATCGAAAGAACAAATCATTCCCAATATCATGTTTCCCATCACATTCATGAGCAAAATAAACGGTTATATTCTCCCACTAGCTCTACACGTCTGTCCTCCTGAGACCTCAGCGGCGGCCAGGGCGGCTCTGGCGCTCCTCGCGGCGACCCCCGGACACGGTCAGCCTTTCAGGGTCGCCGGTCATCCGCCGGAGCGGCCCGGGTCACCGCACAGATCCCAGGGGACAGGGTGGCGGGCTGGCATCCCCGCCGGACAGACACAGCGCCGCAGCAGCCCTCAGGAGGAGTGTAGCGGCTACCGCGGCACGGAAACGGCACGACACAGGCTGCGCGACGTTGATAAAGGCAAAATTCATCGCTGAACCATTTGTGTGAAATGAGCAGAAAACGATATTTTCGCTTAGTCCCTCCACATGCCGTTTTGACCAAAAATACAGAGATCGACAGCTGTAAAGACTATCAGCCAAGAAACGGTTGTCAGAACTAAGAAGACGCAAGAATTATTATACACTGACATCTTATCTGAATGGTGTCCAAATGACGTGTACAATTTCATGACAAAGGAGCCGCCGATCCGTAAATATCAGACCGACGAACGTACGCCGCATCCGTGGCCGTTCACCGTTCCCTGTGCCGCTCCGTGCCGCGTTGGCCCTGCAGATGTCAGTGCGGCCGCCTCACTCCAGAGGGCGGCGCCGGCGCCGCTCCGTCCCAGCTCGGGCGGCTAGACGGTGACGCAGGATGCCGGCTGCATCTTCTCCACCTGGCGCGGCGCGGCGCCGTCCGACACCTCCTTCACCACCGTCACCACCTCCTTGAAGTCGGGGAACGACATGGTCTGCAGCTTGGAGTGCACCACCTGGTCGTTCACCTTGACCTCAAATGACGCTGCAGGCGAAAGGCGGAAACGGAGGTCAGGGTTTGCTAAGGGCAGTTAGCGTCCAAATTACAGAAGCCAACCGTTTTATGAATAATTCGTTTTGTCAAACACGTCGTCAAAATCGTAGCTCTACGGTCATTTTCACCGTCTTAAAAACCGACAATCAGAAACCAACCTTTGGCCATCGACCTAACAGGTCACAGGTTGACATGAAAAATTAAAATGACTATGACCAGAATAAAAAGCCAGCACTAAAATGACTGAGTCGAATCTGTAAAATGGTCTCTACATAGCCTCTACCATGCGTCACCTTGCAAGAACTCGACCTTGGACCCAGAGAACCTTATTTAGTCGATATCATACAAATTAACACTTATTATCGAGATTGCATTACACCAAGACATACGTTGGAAGGCAATAAATCCCACCCAAATCAAAACGATTAGGATGAATGTAAAACACTGGCAACTTTCGGCTTTCGGCACGTCTAGATATATTCACGAAAGCCCTAGGGAGTTGCATAAGCTCTCCGTATGTCGCGGAGAGTTAAGGTATCAACATTCGACGTTTATGACCTCGCATCACATTTTTCAGGTCACGATTTATGAAGACACAGCCATGTTGGAAAAGGCGGACCTGCGGAAAAATGGACATTATAGAGAGCGGTAAATCTGAAATACGCGTTTCCTTCAAATAAGTATCTAATTCTGGAAACCATAGAACAAGACACAACATTACACATACTGTGATCGTAGTTGAAGAAAACGTGCATGCATCTATTGCCAACGTTTATAGAGGGTCATGCAAATATATCTACCACGAAAACTTGCAACCGTGCGTTTGGTCACTTCAAGACTGATCGACTTTTCTGACATCAACTATCCGAAAGTCTATCAGTCAGATGCTTGCTGGAAATTGTCCGTGTCTTTCAACCCCCCAACCTGGATGCCTTGCCGTATCTTTTCTCTGTTCCGGGTGCGGTCTGCCCCTCTACCCGGCCCCCCGCGCCGGCGACCACTCACATCGTCTGCCGACGAATCCCTCCACCTCGGCTCCGGGCACATTGCTCTGGATGAGCTCCTGCAGCTCGCGGAACCGCGGCCCGTACCCTCATCCGCCGCTGCAACAGGACACGGCCGGCCGGCCCGGTCAGCCACTAGCTACTCACAGCACACGCGGCTGGCAGACTTACTCTGGCGACCGACGAAGCCGTCGACGGCAGCGCCGGGAACGCTGGACCCGATCAGGGCCTGCAGCTCCCGGAACTGCGGCTCGTACCCTCACCCGCCGCTGGAACGGCCGGCGGCGTCAGCAGCGCGCACGGCAGACACGGCGAAAGGGGAACACGGTGCGCGGTGGTGGGAGAACAAGACACAGAGAACCAATGGCACGGGACATTCTAGGAAGAGCTCAAGAGTTTTGGCTAGCTATACGTGGCTAAACTGCCCGGATATGACACAGAAACGACATAAAATTGGAATCACTGCACCTGCCACGCAGGCACGGCATTCTCAGGTAGCCAGGCTACCCTTAGTTCCTTTGTTCCGACAACGGGCCTGCGCTCTCAGCCTGAACGTACAGTCTACGCCATCATCGTAAACATTAGCCATCCCACATTCGTTAAACCAGCTGTGTCCACATTACGTACCGCATATGCACACGCAGGGGAAGCCTGGCATTGGACGATGGGCGGCGGACGGCGGGAGGGATGTGGGAGGGATAGCGGGGATCGGGGTAGGATCAAACCAACGGCCATGTGTGTTCTAAGGTACCACCGTGAACCACAGAACACAGCTGCGGTAGCCACAGGCGGCACTTGTCATAATAAAACACAAATGCCCTGGATTGGGGCGATCGACGGAAAACGCCACTCACGGCGCTAAACCGCGCCTTTTGAGAGAACCATACAGTTAAAAGCAGTGACGGTGGTTATCGGTCAGCTTTACGTTTATTGCTATGTTATGTTATAAACCAAGTGACAAGTACGATATTAATAACGAGAGACAAAGAATTTGAAGAAGTGAATTGCATGAGTATTACATAATATCAATAATACACAAATGAGCAGGAGCTGAGGACACTTTGGCCCTTGCCCCCGCGGAGTATGCATAATCACGCATCACCGATGGATCAGTCGGGTTTAAAAGTCAAGTCGACCCGTCAGCAGTTACAATGTAAACACCGTTCTGATCCACCGATAAAGCACGAACTCCGGACCAGCGTATTTTGCAGCTCTCCTTTGTGCCCGCTCTAGATCCGCCGGACATTGCACTGGCTCAGCAAAGCGGGAATATTCCTCTCCGGGATACCGGCGAGTCAGCACAATCGCCCGCGGGATCGGAGCCGTATAGCGAAACCCGGGCCGCGGCCGGAGCTGTGCCGCCGGCGGCCACACAGCGGAAAGGACGGATTTCAGACCGATCAGCAACTATCTCTGCTCAGTATGAAGCATTTATGTAAATAAGTAGCACACCTGTTGAGTGAGACAGGCCGTGCCTGCGCAGGACTAGGTTTCACGTCTATTATTTTTCCGACCACTGGGAAATTGCCGACCAGACTAGTGTAGGAAGGGTTGAGGGACTCAGACTGCTTAGCTGAGGCTCTGTTTTTTCCAAGCATTTCATTCAAATCATCTTAGTCAAACTTAAGCATAATAAAATCATCATAGACAAAGTAAAATTGGTACAGCACCCAAAACCATCAAAATGTGACCAAGCTCAAAGCTCAAGCAATGTTTTACAAACACACCCATTCTTAAAAGAAAAATTACAGGGAAATTTATAAATACAAACATTGGTCCCCAGTGGGCCATTAACTCGATTCCAAATTAAGATTAATAAGAGGTAAATTTATCTTAGGATTGCTGGACTAATTGGTGGGTCTGGCACATGTTTGACTTACAGCGAAATTGAAAACAAGCACAGGTTAAGTAATTAATGAACAACAGATACAGGCATCTAACTCACCAGTATTCAATGACAACTTTGGCTGAGCCCATGATTCTTCTCAATACACTTGCCAGTGTGACAGAAACACACTGTGTCTTCACTTGGTTCAAGGTGCAGTGAACTAAAACAAAGCAGAAAGAAACAGACAATGAAACAATTCAGAAAGCAGACATATGCACACATCTGTGTGAGGTCTTTCATCATTTTGCATTCTGAGCAAACTACAGAACAGGATCTATGAGTCCATTAAATGTCACATAAAAAATTGTGCTGACTCAATGATTTCACAGCATCTAGCAACCAACCAGGAACCAGGATCTAGGACTTGCAGAGATCTTATAGGTAACTTAGGTCTTAGATAGGTACATATGCCATGAAATCATGATCTAAGATGATTCTTTGTCAATTTATCAAAACTGTGATTGGTGGAGCAATGACCTTGAATCCTTGAACATGACCATTTCAAATTTCTTGTGTGTTCTGTAAGGGATGACTGCTACTGGGCATCCTACCTGACTAGAACAAGAGGGACACCATGTAGGTACACTGCACTAATACCAACTGAACCAGAAGAAAAGTTGACTGCAATGGTCAGTTTTAGCCTTAGGCCACTTAGGAATGTGGCTAGCCACACAAAAATCTTATGTGAAAAGTAATGAGGCAGTCTAACTAGTAACTACTGTTTATTCATGCCCAGTACTTATGGTGTTAACCAATACCATATCTATTTTTTTCAAATGGTTGGTGAAACTTCTGGTGTGGGCAGCTTTAAAGTGAACAAAAATCAGATGTGTAGATTTAGAATGTAGTTAAAGGATGTAGGTTGTAGGCTGTAGGTTGGTAGGTTGCAGGTTGGTAGGTTCAATGTTGTAGGTCAGTAAGTAAGGTTAGGTCAGGTTAATTTTTATGTTTACCATACTTAATCTTCACATTTGATTTACCCAAAAATGTAGCCAGCCACTTCTCTACTAGTTATATGGCATCTGATCTATATAACCTGATTGTATGGCATCTGATCATCTGATTATATGGCCTCTGATATATCAGATCATATCACAATGTTTCATGTTCTGATTATCATAAGTAACTTTATACCTATTCATCCACATTCATATATCCACTAACGAAGGCACTATGTGGCCGAAATGTCTCGTATCTATTTTAGAACCGTTAAATTGTTGTCATTTGCTTGAGTATATACAATGACACATAGCTCTGAATGTCTCTCTGATCAGAAGGAAACTTATTATTTGAATAACTCAATCATTCATGGTTCATTGAAAACAATTTCACAAAAGAGTGGCCATGGGTCAAAGGGTTGAAAGGCAGTCAACAAAAATCATCAATAATTTTGGTTTTGAAACATGCCTTTTCCTAAAAACAACCACTTGAACTCAAAAAACATTTCCACATACGAACCACTCACCTACCACTTCCCCCTGTGTCTTGTGATGAAATCAATATGAAATGGCAATACATATCCTCGACTCGACTGTAACTTTACTGCTGTTCAACGTTACCTTGGTATTTTGTCGCTTTCTGCTGCAAAATATTTGACCAATCAAAATCAACGAACGAATAAGAATGGCTGGCAAGCAAAAAGCAGGGGTTTTCAATTCAACGTCAAATAGTTTCAGCGTAAGAAATAATTTTTTTTCTATAAATTACCACTATTTCAAACCAAAATTTCATTCATTTTTAATGTCTGACGCTAATTATGCAGAAAATCAGCATTTAATTGATGACGATAGCAACTGCACTACAGCAGGCATAATTTTTAGAACAGCCTGTAAATAAGCTGATTTCGTCTTTTATGCGGCGTAGATGAAAGCAAGAAATAGTAGTGAGAAGAAAAACAAATGAAGCCCAATATCTATGCCAATAAAACAGTATGTTTTGATTAAATCACTGTTTTAAGTCTTCAAAACTTAAAATTTTATTTTAACAGTTTTAGATAAATTAGAAAATAAAAAGGCATGCTTGATTTAAATAAAAAGTCCACGCCGTCGACGCCGCCATCTTTAGCTTGATTGTTGAGATTTTGGGGGCGATAAGGCTCACTCATTTTCATTTGTTTTGGGCGAGGCTACGGATTTTCCCTACGCTATTCAGGGATCAGTTGAATCAAAGATAAGAGGGCTCATTTGAAGCTGCTGAGCCCTGCTTTTCGTAATTTTTCTTGAAAAGGGGCAGTTTTCCATCCCCCGGTGGTGCGCCAGATTCGTAGCGTGTGGTTTTATGTAAATTTTGCGGCCAAGAGGAGGGATTGGATTGATTAGAGTCGAAAGTGATCTCACATTTGTTTTGGTCTTTCAATAGAACTTCATTCACTTACTCCTTAGTCATGTCTGGCCGCAATGAGTGTCGCATCTATGTTGGGAATCTTCCTCCTGATATCCGCACCAAGGATATTGAGGACCTGTTCTACAAGTTTGGCAAAATCGTATTCATTGATCTGAAGAACCGGAAAGGACCCCCTTTTGCATTTGTCGAGTTTGAAGATCCAAGGTTTGTATATTAGGTCTAGGAAAGTTTCTTTTTCAATTTGTAATCAGAAAATGAGCCTAGTTTAAGATGGAGCAGTGTTAAAGTATCCTTAACATGATATCTACATGGCTCAGAACCCCATTCAGTAATGTGTTTTGACTAACCATTTTATCAATTCTAAATAATTCATTTTTTTTTTTGCCAAAGTTGAGAGGAAAAGCAATAATGCTAAGGACATCAATATGAAATGTGCATTCTTATCTTAAATTGGCTCAATATTTTGTTATCATACCTGATTGGCAGGCTGATTTTTTTGGCATTACATAGTAAAAGAACAAATAAAGTCATGCATTATTTACTAACTAAGATTATCACTTAGTAGATATCACTGAAGCTGCCAGTTGTTATCATTGCTTACAATTCTTTCCATGCTAACACTGTGTTTCAACTTTTACTTGTTGTAAGCTCACTCTGAGTTGAAACTTTTGTTGCATTTAGGTAAATGTTTAAAAAAAAACTTAACTCCCTCAATTTTTATTTTGTACCTTGCATTCACAGGCATGTGTTTCTTAGCTGACTATTGCCCATGCTTAGTTTTATGGTCTTGAGCATCAATAAGCAATAAGCATGTTCAACTTTCATTGTGCTGTGATTGCTTGGTGACATTGTTCAAATGTACAAACCCTTGCACAGGTAGTTTCCACTTGCTCTTTTTTTGTGCTAAGCAAAAACATGGATTGCCACAACTAACCATGCCACCCACCAGGCTGGACCTCTGACCAGCACCTGACCAGTCATTGTTACCCCGCCAGGGACGCCGATGACGCCGTGTACGCCCGCAACGGGTACCTCTGACCAGCACCTGACCAGTCACTGTGACCCCGCCAGGGACGCCGATGACGCCGTGTACGCCCGCGACGGGTACCTCTGACCAGCACCTGACCAGTCACTGTTACCCCGCCAGGGACGCCGATGACGCCGTGTACGCCCGCGACGGGTACCTCTGACCAGCGCCTGACCAGTCACTGTGACCCCGCCAGGGACGCCGATGACGCCGTGTACGCCTGCGACGGGTACCTCTGACCAGCACCTGACCAGTCACTGTGACCCCGCCAGGGACGCCGATGACGCCGTGTACGCCCGCGACGGGTACCTCTGACCAGCACCTGACCAGTCACTGTGACCCCGCCAGGGACGCTGATGACGCCGTGTACGCCCGCGACGGGTACCTCTGACCAGCACCTGACCAGTCACCGTTACCCCGCCAGGGACGCCGATGACGCCGTGTACGCCCGCGACGGGTACGACTACGACGGCTACCGGCTGCGTGTGGAGTTTCCGCGCGGCGGCGGCCCGGGCCGCGGCGGCATGATGGGCGGCCGAGGCATGATGGGCGCCGGCCCGGGCCGGGGCCGCGGCCCGCCGGCGCGCCGCTCTCAGTACCGCGTGCTGGTCACCGGACTGCCGCCCACCGGCAGCTGGCAGGACCTCAAGGACCACATGCGCGAGGCCGGAGACGTCTGCTTCGCCGACTCCTACAAGGACGGCACCGGCACCGTCGAGTTCCTCCGATACGAGGACATGAAGTACGCCGTCAAAAAGCTGGACGATTCCAAGTTCCGCTCACATGAGGTATGTATGGCTAAATTGGTGATAAAAGATGTATTCTGTTTGATTTGATCTTTCTTTCAATTATTCATTTGTTAAATGTTTTCATTGGACAGCGTAATTATTATCGAATCTGGTTATCAGCGGAAGTATGCTCATTCTATTTAACGCTTTTATGTCGGTTTTGAGAACGTGAATTTTGTTCACGCATCAATGGCTGGCTGAGGGTTGTCTGAACAGACTGTCACCATTTCCTCCCCCAGGGTGAGGTGTCGTACGTGCGTGTCAAGGAGGACACGGGCGCCAGCAGCAGTGGCGGAGGTGGCGGCGGCGGCGGCGCGCGCCGCTCCCGCTCGCGCTCGTACTCGCCGCGCCGGCGCAGCTCGCCCACCTACTCGCCGGTGAAGCGCTCCTACTCGCGCTCCCGCTCCCGCTCCGTCTCGCGCGAGCGCTACTGAGCGGAGCCGACTGGCCGAGGAGGGGCGGCGGCCGCACGCCGGCGGCCTGAAGACGCAGACTGGGGACCCGCGACGCCCGGAGCTCACAGCCCAAGGTTCATAAGCCTCTGACCTTTCGCTGTCAGTAGCCTGTGTGTGTTTGTGGACATTCGGGGGAGGCGCGAGTAGTGCTCGCCCTCGGCATTTTAAGTTCATTCACCATTTGTATGTGGGGTTGGTTCATAAACGGTCTTAAATGTAATTGGATGTTTCAATTTAAACACAAGCGGTAAACATGCTCGATGTCATTGTTTTGTACGTATGTCTGTGCGGCGTCTAACACTCTTTCCTGCATTTGTTTTTATAGAATCAAGGATGCATTGGATAGCCCCAGGATTGGATTTGGATGCATTGGATAGCACACAGACACACGCGGAAATGGATTTCATGGCCGGGATATCACTCTGGATCGGATGTGAAGGGGATGTGTGGCACTGGATAGGATGGTCACGGATCAGGATCACGGAATCATGGATCACGGAATCATGGATGGATCAGGATCAGGACAGGACAGGACCCCGCTGCACGCCGGAGCGCCACACTCGGACCCGGCTCGCTCGGACGGACCCATGCCGGTAACGTGCCAACCCCGGGACATCCCGCTTCCTGACCCCCTCAGCTGCTCAGACTCTGGCCTAAAGTCATGTATTCAGAGATGAAAACTTCCTACTGCACAAATTCTCTTCATATTTGAATCGCCCCCGTCTTTATCCGCACTTTCACTTGTCCGCCAGGGTGGTAATGCTAAAGGTATCGATTTGCCATCTCCACTTGCCAAATACGTCCTTTTCTTTCGAATTCGCTCTTAGCGATGTTTATCATTTGCCTCACGACTTAATCTCTGAACTGGACAGATTAAGTCTTCCCTGACGCACAGACGAACGCTTCCCCCTATCTCACGATTCCGTGCATCACGCTCTGTTAACGTAAGGAATCGCTGGGTGCTAAGTCTTGCTCTTGTGCTCGTGTTCGCACTGACTGCCTTTTTCAGCTCCTTCGGATACATCAGCAGCAGCAGCAGCAGTGCGCCGCTGCTGCAGTTTCGGCGGGCCACAGCCCACCGGGCCAGGCCTCGTTCTGGTAATGGCCAATAAACTTACATGCTTCTGCGCTCTTTTTGTGGGGTACTGGGAATGGGAATGGGTTCGAAAAAGGCGTCGAGCATCATGAAGAAGAGTTGCCATGCGGGCTGCGGCCCGGTGCAGGCTCTGCCGCGATGAGGCGGACCGGGCAACAGTGGATTGAGAGGAAGGTTCTCGAGTCGTGGTCGGACGGTGTATCGACTACCCAGGGCTCTCGGTCGGCTCATAAGGACTAAAATCATGGTTGAGAGGCGCTCTGCAATAGGTATTAGGTACTGTTCCGAGTCCCGCGGGACAGACGAAGCGTTCGATTTGAGCAATTGTATTACAAAAATGCATGCCGTGGAATGCTTGATTCACAAAAAAAAATCACATAAATGGTCAATCACAGTCGATCGTGAAATATCTCGCATTTAGGGGAACGACTTATCAATCGATGTACGAAAATAGAATTAATATAAACTACGATTCAACATAACGCAAAGCGAAGCATGATCAAAGTCTTGTACTCCCAGAAAGCCCTCATATCCTGACAACCAAGCTCTTTGGTAGCACCCAACCCGTTGCGGGGCGTTCCATAACCAAAATTAATGCAATAGGCACAGGCAGTCCGACAGCACATGATTCCCAGAAAACAAAGCAGCCCAGCTCACCGCGCCTCAACAAAGTGGAATGCTAATGATAAAATCAACCTAAAAAGCAACAAATGATAAATATGGCACGGGACTATCTCGAACGGAAATACACGGGCAGTGACCCGCTTACCCGGCCGCCTCCGGCTCTGTCACAAATAAATCCACCAGCGCACAACACAACACAGCACGGCACAGACATCCACTGGACAATGAAGTAATTCCTGAATGACTGGGCGAACATCAGGCTTCAGTTTTATCCTTCCTCTCCTAAACAGGTCTCGAGCATTTCTCTCCGCCCGCTAGCTCCTACGCTACAATCCTCTCCCCAAGTCCCGGTGTTTCGCTCGCTGCCCCACCCGTCCTCCCGGCCGGCTCCGTGCGATGGCGGATGGTTGGCACTGAATGTCTGGCGTATTCGGCGTTACGAGCGCCGCCACTGCCTCACTGCGCCGCTACTGTCGCCAGCTGCTGCAGAGCAGCTTGGTGTGCTGGCTGCAGTCACTGCTGCCGCCCTGTGCTGGCAGCAGCCACTGCGGCCCTGTGCTGACTGCAGTCACTGCCACCGTGCGCCGGCTGCAGTCACTGCCGCCGCCCTGTGCTGGCAGCAGCCACTGCGGCCCTGTGCTGACTGCAGTCACTGCCACCGTGCGCCGGCTGCAGTCACTGCCGCCAGCTGCAGAGCAGTTTGGTGTGCTGGCTGCAGTCACTGCCGCCCTGTGCTGACTGCAGTCACTGCTGCCAGCTACAGAGCAGTTTGGTGTGCTGACTGCAGTCACTGCCGCCAGCTGCAGAGCAGTTTGGTGTGCTGACTGCAGTCACTGCCGCCAGCTACAGAGCAGTTGGTGTGCTGGCTGCAGTCACTGCCGCCAGCTGCAGAGCAGCTTGGTGTGCTGGCTGCAGTCGCGCGGCAGCCGGTGGCCGGCGCGGCGCGCGGCCAGGAACGCCGCTCCGCTGCAGAGCGATCCGCGCAGCTCGAGCAGCTGGAAGGCGGGCAGCAGCGGTCCGGCCACCTCGAGCAGGCCGTCCCGGAGCAGCGGCCACGAGCGGAACACTGCGCCGACCACCACTATCTGCAGACCGCGCTCCGCCGACAGCATCTCCTGTGGGCAGGGAGGGGGAGTCACACGGCGCCCACCACCACTATCTGTAGACCGCGCTCCGCCGACAGCATCTCCTGCAGGGAGGGAGGGGGAGTCACACGGCGCCCACCACCACCACTATCTGCAGACCGCGCTCCGCCGACAGCATCTCCTGTGGGGAGGGAGGGGGGGGGTCACACGGCGCCCACCACCACTATCTGCAGACCGCGCTCCGCCGACAGCATCTCCTGTGGGGGAGGAATGGGGAGTCACACGGCGCCCACCACCACTATCTGCAGACCGCGCTCCGCCGACAGCATCTCCTGTGGGGAGGGAGGGGGAGTCACACGGCGCCCACCACCACTATCTGCAGACCGCGCTCCGCCGACAGCATCTCCTGTAGGGAGGGAGGGGGAGTCACACGGCGCCCACCACCACTATCTGCAGACCGCGCTCCGCCGACAGCATCTCCTGTGGGCAGGGAGGGGGAGTCACACGGCGCCCACCACCACTATCTGCAGACCGCGCTCCGCCGACAGCATCTCCTGTGGGGAGGGAGGGGGAGTCACACGGCGCCCACCACCACTATCTGCAGACCGCGCTCCGCCGACAGCATCTCCTGTGGGGAGGGAGGGGGAGTCACACGGCGCCCACCACCACTATCTGCAGACCGCGCTCCGCCGACAGCATCTCCTGTGGGGGAGGAATGGGGAGTCACACGGCGCCCACCACCACTATCTGCAGACCGCGCTCCGCCGACAGCATCTCCTGCAGGGAGGGAGGGGGAGTCACGCGGCGCCCACCACCACTATCTGCAGACCGCGCTCCGCCGACAGCATCTCCTGTGAGGAGGGAGGGGGAGTCACACGGCGCCCACCACCACTATCTGCAGACCGCGCTCCGCCGACAGCATCTCCTGTGGGGGAGGAATGGGGAGTCACACGGCGCCCACCACCACTATCTGCAGACCGCGCTCCGCCGACAGCATCTCCTGTGGGCAGGGAGGGGGAGTCACACGGCGCCCACCACCACTATCTGCAGACCGCGCTCCGCCGACAGCATCTCCTGTGGGGAGGGAGGGGGAGTCACACGGCGCCCACCACCACTATCTGCAGTCCGCGCTCCGCCGACAGCATCTCCTGTGGGGAGGGAGGGGAGTCACACGGCGCCCACCACCACTATCTGCAGACCGCGCTCCGCCGACAGCATCTCCTGTGGGCAGGGAGGGGGAGTCACACGGCGCCCACCACCACTATCTGCAGACCGCGCTCCGCCGACAGCATCTCCTGTGGGCAGGGAGGGGGAGTCACACGGCGCCCACCACCACTATCTGCAGACCGCGCTCCGCCGACAGCATCTCCTGCAGGGAGAAATGGGGAGTCACACGGCGCCCACCACCACTATCTGCAGACCGCGCTCCGCCGACAGCATCTCCTGTGGGGGAGGAATGGGGAGTCACACGGCGCCCACCACCACTATCTGCAGACCGCGCTCCGCCGACAGCATCTCCTGTGGGGAGGGAGGGGGAGTCACACGGCGCCCACCACCACTATCTGCAGTCCGCGCTCCGCCGACAGCATCTCCTGCGGGGAGGGAGGAGAGGGGGAGTCACACGGCGCCCACCACCACTGTCTGCAGACCGCGCTCCGCCGACAGCATCTCCTGTGGGGAGGGAGGGGGAGTCACACGGCGCCCACCACCACTATCTGCAGACCGCGCTCCGCCGACAGCATCTCCTGCAGGGAGGGAGGGGGAGTCACACGGCGCCGACCACCACTATCTGCAGACCGCGCTCCGCCGACAGCATCTCCTGTGGGGGAGGAATGGGGAGTCACACGGCGCCCACCACCACTATCTGCAGACCGCGCTCCGCCGACAGCATCTCCTGCAGGGAGGGAGGGGGAGTCACACGGCGCCCACCACCACTATCTGCAGACCGCGCTCCGCCGACAGCATCTCCTGTGGGGGAGGAATGGGGAGTCACACGGCGCCCACCACCACTATCTGCAGACCGCGCTCCGCCGACAGCATCTCCTGCAGGGAGGGAGGGGGAGTCACACGGCGCCCACCACCACTATCTGCAGACCGCGCTCCGCCGACAGCATCTCCTGTGGGGAGGGAGGGGGAGTCACACGGCGCCCACCACCACTATCTGCAGACCGCGCTCCGCCGACAGCATCTCCTGCAGGGAGGGAGGGGGAGTCACACGGCGCCCACCACCACTATCTGCAGACCGCGCTCCGCCGACAGCATCTCCTGCAGGGAGGGAGGGGGAGTCACACGGCGCCCACCACCACTATCTGCAGACCGCGCTCCGCCGACAGCATCTCCTGTGGGCAGGGAGGGGGAGTCACACGGCGCCCACCACCACTATCTGCAGACCGCGCTCCGCCGACAGCATCTCCTGTGGGCAGGGAGGGGGAGTCACACGGCGCCCACCACCACTATCTGCAGACCGCGCTCCGCCGACAGCATCTCCTGTAGGGAGGGAGGGGGAGTCACACGGCGCCCACCACCACTATCTGCAGACCGCGCTCCGCCGACAGCATCTCCTGTGGGGGAGGAATGGGGAGTCACACGGCGCCCACCACCACTATCTGCAGACCGCGCTCCGCCGACAGCATCTCCTGTGGGGAGGGAGGGGGAGTCACGCGGCGCCCACCACCACTATCTGCAGACCGCGCTCCGCCGACAGCATCTCCTGTGGGCAGGGAGGGGGAGTCACACGGCGCCCACCACCACTATCTGCAGACCGCGCTCCGCCGACAGCATCTCCTGTGGGGAGGGAGGGGGGGGTCACACGGCGCCCACCACCACTATCTGCAGACCGCGCTCCGCCGACAGCATCTCCTGCAGGGAGAAATGGGGAGTCACACGGCGCCCACCACCACTATCTGCAGACCGCGCTCCGCCGACAGCATCTCCTGTGGGCAGGGAGGGGGAGTCACACGGCGCCCACCACCACTATCTGCAGACCGCGCTCCGCCGACAGCATCTCCTGTGGGGAGGGAGGGGGAGTCACACGGCGCCCACCACCACTATCTGCAGACCGCGCTCCGCCGACAGCATCTCCTGTGGGGAGGGAGGGGGAGTCACACGGCGCTCGACAGACAGCATCTCCTGCGGGGAGTGGGAGAAGGTCACAAAGAGGGACGATAAATCAAATGGCTTGCTTTTGTGTATCTACCGTCACTTAGGAAAAAGGGGCTGCTATTGTCGTGTACTGCTATAAGGTGGCGCCACTTGCTCGCATGAAATAAAAAAGTGTTCACTTTCCAGCCTTGTGCAGCGTAACGCTACGACACCTTGAGCAATGCCCTCTATCAAAACGTATAGAAACTGTCAGGAGCTGACAACTTTCCCCGATAATGGCTGCATGCGTCTACCTCGTCACCCCTTCTCTGTGACGTTTACATGACGACTCTCCATCAAATGACATCACTGTACCCCTGTAGCCATTACCCGTAACCGTTCCGACCCTTACAATAAACAACTTTGCGTTGTCGCACACCATGCGCCAGGACATTTCCCAGCTGTGTCACTCCGCACGACCTTTTGCCACGAATCGGGCCAGACACAAACACCATGCATTGGCACATGGATACTACGGATCGGTTAGCCGAAACCGTACGGGGCGGCGCGCGGCACACACGATCACCACGCCTGCACCACGTGACCACCTACCCTGCCACTGGGCGGCAGAACTACCAAAGGCCACTGAGCAGCAGTCGATACACCATCGTGCCGCCCAGCGGCGGCGGCTGCAGGCCGATCGAGGTCAACAGGCCCGTTACAGGACGAATCCGTTTTTGTTGACGTAAGTCTACACAATTACCTACTTATCTTGTTGATGCGGATCTTCAATGGTTACATGGAAGGCAATCTGGGCTGTAGTGCCAGTTGGGTAATTAGCTCGGACTAGTCCGCATTTTGTTGGATCCCTCCTCACCTTTCCTTTTGTCCCCACCAAACTCTTATCTGTCACTGTATCTCACCCCTACCTTGTCCACATTGGGCGGCGATATACAACCCCATCCGCGCGCCGTCCCCACCCCTTCCTTGTCCACATCGGGTGACGATGTATAATACACCCCAGTCAGGCGCCGTCCCCTGCCGTACCTTGTCGACATTGGGCAGCAGGGCGGCGATGTATCGGCCCAGCCAGGCGCCGGCCTCCTTGAACAGCTGTAGGCACAGAGGGTCGCCGTGGCGCGCGGCGGCCGCCAGGTGTTCGCAGAGCGCCGCGAACCGCTGCTTCTCGAACTTTGTGTACGCGTGCGCCAGCAGCCCGAACCTGCCGCGGGGCGCGGGAGGGGGTCGGTCACAGGAAGGGCAACAAACAGCACGTGGGCGTCACACATCACACACAACACCGAACAACAAACACGGTCACAGGGCGGGGACTACACAAAACGTGGGCGTATTTTGAACAGATGACACAGATGATAGTAAAATGGACGGGTGGGAAAACGGATGAACACTGCATGGGTTACTAGTAAACAGCCGGGGCGTGGCGTTGGTAAGGGAAGGGGGGAGGGACGCGACGACGGAAAACGGGGAGGCCGGAGAAAGGGGCGGAGTCATATACTGAGAACAATAATCGAGTGCTGCAACACGAATCGAAGGTAACGCGCAAATCAGATGGAGTGGACAGCTCGGAAAGTGTCTGAAGTTGAACAGAGCGATAGCCTCATAACGAAATGTCCATTGATACGGCGGTGCCTGCGGACATTATGCAATGGGCATCTGCAAACAATGATGAAACATGATAGTGTTCCACGAGCGCCAGGGATAATGGATTAGACACGAACCGCACTGTGTTCACAGTAGCTGTTACAGCGCATACCCCTCACAAGATTATTTCACTACATCCCTCACTCCGGTAAAAAAGCCCCGCCCAGAGCGGTGACCGCGGACGGACGGACGGACGGACGGACGGACGGACAGACAGACAGACAGACAGACAGACAGACAGACAGACAGACAGACAGACAGACAGACAGACAGACAGACAGACAGACAGACAGACAGACAGACAGACAGACAGACAGACAGACAGACGGACGGACGGACGGACGGACGGACGGACAGACGGACAGGACAGGACAGGACAGGACAGGACAGGACAGGACAGGACAGGACAGGACAGGACAGGACAGGACAGGACAGGACAGGACAGGACAGGACAGGACAGGACAGGACAGGACAGGACAGGACAGGACAGGACAGGACAGGACAGGACAGGACAGGACAGGACAGGACAGGACAGGACAGGACAGGACAGGACAGGACAGGACAGGACAGGACAGGACAGGACAGGACAGGACAGGACAGGACAGGACAGGACAGGACAGGACAGGACAGGACAGGACAGGACAGGACAGGACAGGACAGGACAGGACGGACGGACGGACGGACGGACGGACGGACGGACGGACGGACGGACGGACGGACGGACGGACGGACGGACGGACGGACGGACGGACGGACGGACGGACGGACGGACGGACGGACGGACTGATGGACGGGCAGAGGCGGGCGGGCGGACGGACGGACAGACGGGCGGACGGACGGATGGACGGACGGACAGACGGACGGACGGACGGACGGACGGACGGGGGCTAACCTACCTGTCTGTGACGCCGAAGCAGGTGAAGATGGCCTCTCGGACGGCCTCGGTGCTGTGCGGCGGCTTTCTCAGGTTGTCATCCTCGTCAAACACCCACTTGATGGCCTCGTGGGCGATCCACCAGGCTACAGGGCGGTACAGAACATGGAATTAACTACACTGCGGTCCGATTGAGCGGGATTGAGTATGATCTCATATTGCAGGGAGGTACCGGCCCGGCGTCTCCCATCGGAGTATTATCGTCGTGTGCCATATGACACCGTTGGGGTCCATTGAGGACCTGGGTAACCCAATACCGTTTAACGACCACAGCCGGCCCCAAATGCAGGTGATTAGGGGGGCAGTGGTCGGATCAGGATCGGATTTCGCTTCGGTAAACAACGCTGCCCCCATGTAATGTAAGCGGCAGGAAAGCAGCAACGCCACGAACTCCCGCCTATGTCATATTCATCTCATACCTTAGGACAAAAGGTGCCGGTTTCCGACCAACAATCCATGCTAAAAAATTGCTCAAATGTGCAAGACAACTGTATAAAGCTAGGGACTTATTATGTGCAACGCAAACACCAAATCCTTCTTCAACTGCAGACATTGACCCATGGGATTTATCGAAATGTGTGGCAATAGTCACACTTCGCGCGCATTCCTTGGTTCGCTCTAAGATAGCCGACAGCCGCGATTAAGTACACTGGTGAGCTCAGCGAGGGGTGATGACGCAAACGGTGCCTCTGAAGGCGTCAGCCGTCACAGGTAGTCCCGCCACGTCCGGGGCAGGAGGTGTGGCCATGGGTCGGGCGAGCGGTGCAGTTCGAGTACGCGCTATCAACACGGGGGAGGCCGGACAAGGTTCACAGAATCGGAGGGGAGGGATGTTTCGCAACCAACCCATTAGTGGTATCTGTCGACGGAAGATGTAACACTCGATATCAACATACGTTGCATATATCGCAATCAACCGATGGCAAAGTTCCCCGACAATCGCTGCCGGGCTAATGCAGCTGTCTCAGAGAAACCACATCGAATGTCGGCTCCTAATACGGCAAAATCCCCGCGAACGGAGGGATTCCGGCAGAGCGACACGGCTGAAATCCCGGATAAACCCCGTCTGGCAATGGTTCAATGAAGTGAAAGTGAGCCGGGCCGGGAGGTGATCGATGGTTGCCGGACTAGCGACAGGGCTCATAGTCAGCAAACTTATGTCCCCTCCCCCTCCCTCCCTCTAACTAAGTACTTACCGCCTACCTCATCTCCGAAGAAGTGCCCCCGGCCGCCGCAGCGGTGGCTCGTGCCGCTGTTCCGTACCTCCCACTCCCTCCTTCCCCTCCCCTCTGACGGGTACTCACCGCCTCCCTCGTCTCCAAACAGATGTCCCCAGCCGCCGCAGCGGTGAGTGGTACCGTCCGCCTTCAGCAGCAGACTGTTGGAGCCGGTGCCGGCGATCAGACACATACCACCTGTCCGAGGGGACAGACGGGATGGGGAGGTATGTCACTGAGCGGCCTTTTCAACGGCACGTACCGGAATGTAACCGCGTGAAGAGCATAGGTACGTCAGCATTCGTTTGGATTTGGAAAGGACCGATGTCTATCTCGAGGGCATGAAAAAGAACATTTGTATAGAAATGAATGGCGACAGACGTATCAGCAATGTAAAACGACTTCGGCAGACTATGCCGCACTTATCCGTAATGCTCACATGACAAAATGGCTGCACAAGCATTGATATCCGGGATCTCTCAAAACCAATGTCACTCATCAATCAATCAAACTTGAAACTGGGACGTCATGAAAGCCAGATCACTTAAGCACTCGAGCTAATCGCCCGGCTATTGCGATACTCGCGTGATCCGCTACCGGACATTTGTTGCTATCTTTCCGTAGCCAGTAGCCGCCGCCCGCGCACTACGCGGGTCCACCGGGCACCGTGTCCGATCCCCCCCCCCTGTACCCCACCCGCCCGGCAGGTCAGAGGCGGCGGCTTACCGTCCTCGAAGGCAGTGGCGATGGTGCCGACCGTGTCGCTGCAGACGAAACACGACTCGGTCAGCGTCGGATGGTTCTCCAGCAGGTTCTGACGGAACGCCTCGTTGGTTTCATCCACCTCACAGCCGCTCAGACTCAGACCCTGTGGGACGATATAAGGTCCGAATCAGACCCTGGGAAATATGTCACGGACTCAGACTCAGGTCTGGAAGAGGGAAATCTCAGACTCATACCCTTGGGGCGAAACAAGTTCGGACTCATACTCGGACCACGGGTACGAGACAAATAAATTCAGACCCTAAATACGACCTAACTCAGTCAGAACATCGCCACAAAACAGTTGCGACTCGCCCCGTCGTGTGATGCATCGCCAAAGTTTGTTGCCAGAAACTCAACAAACTTAGTGACAATGTGTATGGTGTCTGTGCTGACGGGCAACTCCGGATCCCGGTACGCACCAGCGCGCGGAGGGTGGTGTGCGCCGGCTGTCCGGCCTTCTGTAGAGCGTCGTCCACCAGCGCGCGGATCCGCCGCTCCGTCTCCGGCATACCGATCAGCTGCGGCCCGGCGGTACGAGCACGGGCAGGTTAGCGGAAATAGTACTCCGATAGCTTGTAAATAAAAGTTAAAACCGACTGACCGATGCAATGCATTTTAGCAGCACCCACGACTTTTTATTACGAATCGAACAATACATATACGATAAAAATGATACGGATGTCAATTAACAAAAAATACATACCTAAATTACCTATTGTGCAATGACATCAGCACAGTCAGGTCTTTTATCAAGGCGTCCCATCCCCCCCCCCCCCACCCTCCCCAACCTCAAACGCCCCGAACCATATCGTGTTCGACGCAACACCCCGATTATTTCAAGGACCAAAGTGCGATCGATCCGCACCAATGACACATTATGATTGCAGGTCATCAGGTCACGATAAGTATCCACTTCGCTAAACCTACAAGCCTCTCAAAGAAAGCAAATTTAATTAGTATTCAAAGCCATCAGTCACTTTGGTTTTACCAGTGAGCAGGCACGTTGAAATGATTTATCTGAAGCCCAACAATTTATCCAGAACGGGACAATATAATTGAAGCTATTTCGAGAATTGCTCAGTTGGTAGCATGTTTTCCGTACTTTCCGGTACACGGATTACACAGTCTCAACTGATTCATGCTTGCGTCTACAAAACCATGCACAACTACTCACTAAGAAGTTGATGCATGACCCCTGGCACTCTGCCAGACATTTTCCATCTGCATCAAACAGAGCTATGGCGGAATGACTTCCGCCACTGCAATGGAGGATGCATAGAGATCAATCAAAACTACACTATGACAAAGCAGAACAATACTTTCTACAGCAGGAATACACTGTCAGAAGTTTTCAGTAATGACAAAGAATGAAAAATTTATCTGCCACAACAGCAGCAGAGATGTAGGCACCACTTAGTAACAGCTTGAAATGCACACAAGAAACTAAAAATAAAGCAGAAATTGAAACAATATATCATTACGGAGCGAGCGAAGCGAGCGGAGTCTTACGTAGAATAACGGAAATTTCTGAGTATGAGCGGCCGGCCGGCCGGCCGGCCGGCCGTGCGGACGCTTTTGCGAGGCTTATATCTCAGCAACCACTTGACCGATTTACACGCGGTAATTTTTATAGGGTAGCTTCATTCCTTCTACCAAGTATTGGACTATTCCCGATGCATGTGGGTGACCCCTTATGCACGTGCCACGTGCAAAACGAAGAGGTGTCAGTTTTGCAATTGTTGCAATATTTCGGTAACTACTTGGCCGATTGCGCTGAAAGTTGGCATGTAGGTAGGCACCCACTAGGCACTGCATATCCATGTGCCAGAGTTGGGGTGCCGCTGCACGTGCGCACGTGCAGAGGTCGTTTCCAGATCTCGAGAACGGCTGGACCGATTGCGCTCAAATTTGGTACACAGTTAGGGACCGGTTAGTAGGGTGCCGTGCAAAAGCCAGTCGGGACCCATTTTGCACGTGCGCACGTGCAGGGTGCCGCTCCCAGATCTCGAGAACGGCTGGGCCGATTGTGCTCAAATTTGGCACATCGCTAGAAACCGGTCAGTAGGGTGCCGTGCACAAGTCAGTTGGAGGTACCCCCTCGAAATTTCGCACGTGCAAGGCTCACCCTCTCGCTCGCTCCGTTAGTCGCCCCAAAAGGCGCTATACTGGTAGTATATATGAGCTACAATCCATCTAAAAGAAACAGTAAACACTAGTATCACAAGGCACACTTACAACAAAACTGAGGCATGGGCCTGAGCTTTGTGCCACACATGTTCCAGCAGAGTCATAAAGCTCAATGGCAGAGTGACTGCCTCCACTGAAAGATACAAGTGTATTATACAGGTTTGTCTGCTCCTTGCTAAGGCTATCATTTATCAATGCCTATAATTTAACTAGGAGCTCAAGCAGGTAACTGCTGACTATTGGAGACTCTGGTTTTGACCTTGATTTGACTTGATTTGATCATCAAACCCTGATTCCTGAAAAGATTGACAGACCATTTGGCATCTTATGATAAACAATTATTGTCATGCACACCAACTCTGGTCTAGCTAACCTCAACCCCCAAATAATTGACAATCTTTGAGGATAACAATTGCTCACCCTTCCACACCAGCATACAAAGCCACTGGTTGGTGTGTTCCATTCATGTTGGCTTCCTTATTGTTATAGTTGTCCTGGAAAAAAGTTTATTAGTGAATAGTGACACAACACCAACTGCATATTGTGGGCAATGCACAGACTGAGCAGTAGGTATGTTGATGTTGATGAATTGGTAGGTATAGCACAAGTGGAAGTGGTTTCAGGAGGCTAGTCCAAGCAATCAATTCAAGCTATGTCAAATGTCAAACTATCAGAACTGTCAAAAAAAATAATCTGGTGTACAGAGGTAAAAAGGCAATCCAAATCACAAAACCCTAACCCTGGGTCATGTGTTTCGTTTCACTGCTCCCTCGTTGCTAGCAAGTCCCTGTTACGTTATTGGTGTTGTGCACCGCAGTCCGCACCATGCTGGAGGCCCTCAATTGCCTGTCACATGATTGAGCTTATGGTGAGGATGCTCTGTGGCTTTAGACTTGGCACTCCATGTTCTATACCTATAGTGATACGCTGTTTACTAAATACTACATACATTTTATTCAAAAAAAAACCTGAGCCCTGAGTCCTGACTTTTTGTTCAGTATCAGCAGACCGGGACTGTAGATCCGTCCTTTCATGCATTGGAACCGCTTGTCACACAAACGCACTGAACTAACCACTCACCAACAACTCCCTGTGGCAAGACCTGCAGCACAAACTTCGGGCTATGGCACGAACTAGAATGAAATTGGAATGAAATGCACCTATGCACTTCAAAACACAAACTGCCCGAGGCTGCCCTATGCGGATTGCTATTGTTTACATCACATGTTTGATGCATAGCTGCTACATGCACCTTTAGAATGACGTCATTAGCTTTTTTCTAAAAGCGCTCGTTTGATGGATACAAAAATTCATAATTTCATATGAAATGGCTGTAATTGCTTTAGGTGACAGGCTCATTTTTTGTGTTATGATAAAAGTTATTTTTTTATCCAAAATCAATTTTTTGTGAAGGGTACAGGCACTTTATATATAATTTTTTGACATCAATAAATAATTTTACAGCATCAACATTACTAAAACCTTGGAATGTTATTAAGTTTGATGCAGGACCTTTTCAAGATGTCACGTGATAAAACACAAATTTAATAGCTTCAATTATTTTATTTGGACATTAAGAGAAAGTATTTTCCTTCAATTTTTTACAATTTAAGAAAATTAAATTGAGTAAATTGCACAATTGATTGTATTACAATCAAAATATCAATATGTCTGTCATTGATCTGTGAGTCATATGAGATAAGAGCCAGGATAATGCCAGTGGCGCGTACTCTCTTGATACCGCGTCTCATACGTACCTGACGCATAGTGCCTGTGATTTTGGATCGGTGGTTGTTGTTTGTGTCTGAGTTTGTCATTTTCATGTCCGTGTTTGATGTGCTATGAATGGCGAGAATCGGTGTATTTTTATGAATAATACACTGACATCGGTTGTTTTCAGTGTATCTTCTGTTTACTGATCGCAAACATCATATAAGGTAATTAAAAAGGCAGGCTGCTTGACTTTCCAACCTGCTGCAGCTACAGCCACTTCACTTAAATCTATCAAAATCCAAGCTGAAGATTGTTATTGAAATAGCTTCACCTGAGATATTTATTGAGTTATTTTGTGGAATTCACCTTTTTCTCTCTTCACAGTTCACATCAGTGTTTCACTTTATCAAGCTGTTCTGATGGGTATTTTCATGGGCTGATGTGAGTGATGTCAATGTCCTGGTAAATATTTACTTTAGGTCCGCAATATTATTTCAACAAGAAAAAATGCACATTCTTACACTATTTGATGTCCTGAATTCAGATATGATGCTTAAATGCATCAAAAATGTAAAATAAGATACTAAAACCCCAGCACATTACACCGCACTGCTGCACAATATACACTGAAGAAAGCAAGCTTCCGCGACAAAAACGAAACATACAACGCTGCCCTATAAAAGAAAAAAAATGATGCGGATATTCATTAGTTTTCGACGTTATGAAAATGACGTCATAATACCAAAGCACAAGAAAACGGTGAATAAAAAAGAGAAAATATTTAGCAAAGGTAATAGAGCATGAGAAAATGATCAGAACATAACCAAACCTTACCTTACCTGACCTACTGATGTTTGCCTACTGGGGGAAAAGGAAAAAGTGACTTGCATGAATAGATTGCAAGCAATGGTAAGTCAAATATTTTTAGGTTAAGTGGTTATGCATCAGGCTTCAGGCCTTCGGCCTGAAGCCAGATACACAACCACTTAACCTAAAAATATTTGACTTACCATTGCCTGTAATCTCTCCTAAGGCATTGCCTTCGGCACTGCACCGCTCCGCCTCGATTATTTTGACGTCACTTTCCTTACAATTTATTATCATCCGTAATTTCGCTCAACCTTGGTTGGACCATTTGTAGCGGGTGCGCCGCACAGACGGTCTTTTGACACGTGCAGTTCCGGTCGGAGGTGGGGCCGCGGCCGTTGGTGGTGATACTGGTGATACTAGTGTACTGGTTCTTTTAAATTGGTTTCTAGAAGGAATAAGTATCAGAAATGAAATCAGGAGGTCTTAGAGTATCGTGTGAATGACTTTTAATTACCCCTCTGTTTTGCGGACCTAAAGTAAATAAATACCAATGTCCTTACCTAACCTACTGATAGTAAAACTCAACAAAAATGAAAAAGCAATATACTATTTAGTTAAGATAAATAAGCATCCTGATAAACATCTTCAACAAACATCACCAAATTGGAACACAGGTGAATGTCACCTTTTGCACCCTGCGCTCGAAATTGAGTAAATACCATGACATAATGTCACAAACCATATAATAACTTAGATTCTTATGATGCTTAACTCCCAAAAGCAGGTACACTAGAAGCAAAAATATTTGAATCTAATCCAACTCACCTAACTTAACCTAACAATTTAAATTAAACTACCTGGCTCAGAGTGTGACAAATATAAGTTATATATGTTTGGTGTGAAAAATATTGTTATAATATATACTTCAAATTTTTATATTCTTAAGGATTTGAATGTTATGTTGTATATCTTATTCTTATGTCATAACTGTATGTTTTATGTTGGGTACCTAATTTGTTTCAGTGAAATCAAGTGAACATATTTCTTGCCTCCCACAATAAGCAATTATCAGTTTTGTATGTAATCTGATCACCCAAGGAGTTATGCTTACATGTATTTTCTTTCTGAACATAGTTTTACAGTTAGAACTTATAGATTGCCTTACAAAAGAATGTGGCAATATTTGTATGATTCTCTAATATGTCCATTGAGGTGAAATGTGATGATTTCAAATGTTTAATTAATACCTATGCTGTAATTTACCTTGAGTTTCATATTATCCAATTCATTGCGGAAAAGTGACCAATTTGTTATGTATCCACCTCAAGCATAAATGCTGAAGATTTTGAAGTTGTGTTGCAATGTATGTAGAGAACAGCTCAATCAAATATTATTGATTGGCAACCCTTGATTGTTGCTTTCCAACTCATCATCACAATCAGCATGTAGTTGCCTTACTTTTGGTGACTGCAGCTTAGTGTGAGCCTGTGCTCCACTAATCCACTCATCCCCCTTGCCATGGACAGGCAAAGATCAATATCCTTAACGTTCTCCACTGTCACAGATCCCACCTCTGTGGCCCTCCCATGACCGTTCTCCCTGTGTCCCGCCAGGCGCGCGGACGTTCTCCACTGTCACAGATCCCACCTCTGTGGCCCTCCCATGACCGTTCTCCCTGTGTCCCGCCAGGCGCGCGGACGTTCTCCACTGTCACAGATCCCACCTCTGTGGCCCTCCCATGACCGTTCTCCCTGTGTCCCGCCAGGCGCGCGGACGTTCTCCACTGGCACAGATCCCACCTCTGTGGCCCTCCCATGACCGTTCTCCCTGTGTCCCGCCAGGCGCGCGGCCTAACGTTCTCCACTGTCACAGATCCCACCTCTGTGGCCCTCCCATGACCGTTCTCCCTGTGTCCACCAGGCGCGCGGACGTTCTCCACTGGCACAGATCCCACCTCTGTGGCCCTCCCATGACCGTTCTCCCTGTGTCCCGCCAGGCGCGCGGACGTTCTCCACTGGCACAGATCCCACCTCTGTGGCTCTCCCATGACCGTTCTCCCTGTGTCCGCCAGGCGCGCGGACGTTCTCCACTGGCACAGATCCCACCTCTGTGGCCCTCCCATGACCGTTCTCCCTGTGTCCCGCCAGACGCGCGGCCTAACGTTCTCCACTGGCACAGATCCCACCTCTGTGGCCCTCCCATGACCATTCTCCCTGTGTCCCGCCAGACCCGCGGACGTTCTCCACTGTCACAGATCCCACCTCTGTGGCCCTCCCATGACCGTTCTCCCTGTGTCCCGCCAGGCGCGCGGCCATGCCGCGCTCCAAGCGCGACACAGTGCGCGACCGCACGGCCAGCGCGCCGTCCCCAGAGTCGCCGCTGCTCAGCAAACGCAAGGTGTTCGCGCAGCGCAAGTTTGCGCAGGGCGTGGCCACGCCGTGCGCGGGCTCTGCGCCGCCGTCGCCGCCGGCGGCCTCCTCCCGACCGCCGTCGCCGGCGCCGCTGCCGCCCGACGGGCCGCTGCCCAAGACTGAGGACTTCATCACCTTCCTCTGCTTCAGAGGTAACCGGCGGCGTCGACAAGTGCGCTGATTCGGAGATTAGAAGTGGAATGTGGAACGTTTCGAAATTATCCCGGGGCCGAAAGCATCAGGAAGGGATAACGTTTTGTGTTGTGATTTGCGGCCTCCAGTATCCAATCGGGTTTCAAACTGAAAAAGTTGAACAGTATTTTTGAAGAAATAAGCTAGCGGTATATATTTCTTCCACAACACCCCCGACTTCTGAAGCTCATCCCATGCAGACCACCATATGATGTTAACCCCTCGTCGGCTCCCCCAGGCACGTCTCGATTACCGGCACACCTAGAGCGGTTCAACCACCCGCCTCTGCCGGGCAGCAGCGGCAGTCGGGCGGGGCGACCCGCCCGCTCCTCGGCGGCCGCTGGGCACGAGGGCTCGCCCGGCCGCGCCGGAGCCAACGCGCGCGCCAAGGTTAGTGTGCAGCGGGGGAGCGCAGTGGAATTGTTACTTCATAGACGTGATTTGCTTTCGATGTGGTTGCATTGAAATTTTACTACTGTCTTGTTCTTTATTTATGGGTGTGTAAACTGTAGAGTAGAGGTGATAATAATATTGAGGTTTTCCGGTGTTGCAGGATCAGAAGAGTGCTAATGGGATCCGCCAGAACGGGCACGTCAAAATGTCGGCGACAAAACCGCTCTTTCAGAAGCACAATAGTGGTGAGTATTGAGTACCCTTTCAACTAAACTGGAAGCTAACTTTATTCTTCTTCGTTTTTGCACACATGAACTAAACCTTGTTCACGGACTGATATGGCCTTAGCCGGCACATGAGCTCCCCGTGTTGCCGTTGCAGCGCTGCACAGCCGGTCGGCGCGCGACTCTCCCTCCTCCGTGTCCAGCTCGCGCTCGGAGAAGGTCGCGCCGGCGCTGAAGCGTGCCCAGGTGGTGCTCCGCAAACTCTCACACTCGAGCCTCATCGCCAAGAAGAAGTCGCAGTCGGCCAAGCTGCGGGCGCAGAAGGCGGTGGACAAGCAGGCGCGCATGCTGCAGAGGTGGGCTCAGAGGGGAGACTGTAGGGGTAGTTTGAGAGGACTGAGCTCGTCAATAGTTGTTCGACATTACGTAGGTATACTTTTGTTTATTTTGGCTCAACCAAAGCTAAGATATTCATTGTTCGCCGTTGTTGCATTAACCGTCCGTATGTTTTATTACTCCGAAGTCTGTGCCCCGAACAATGCACAGCTTCGCACTGGATTGAATCGGTGCACCCCGGTGACGCGTTGCATCTCTCCCGTCTCAGGCTGGTGGTATCGAGCAGCCTGCGCTACCCGTCCTCGGGACCGGCCATCAAACTGACCACGCTCAAACAGCAGCGGCCGTTCGCGCGGCTGACGCGGGCCCAGATCGCGCGCGGCGCCCGACAGCGACCGGCCGGCTCCGGCGCTCCGTCCCGGGCCCGGCCGGCCGGCGCCGAGACGTCCAAACCCCGACCGGGCGCCTCAGAGACATCCAAACCGCGGCCGGGCGCGCCGCCAGCCTCGGACGGCCGGCCGTCGAAGGCGGCGGCTGAGCGGTCGGCGGCGGCGGCGCAGGTCAGGTCCCGCCGGCCGGCGACCGACGCGGTGGCGAGGATCCGACAGAGGGCGCGACTGCGGCAGCAGATGGCGGGAAAAATGAGGAGGGAGGCGGACAGGAGGAAAGTACGCGCCGAGTCCGGCAGGTGAGCGTCCAGAGGACGGGATTCTACCAACGTGTTGTATACATACATGCTTTGAGTTGAGGGATGTTCGAATGTTTATAGGGTTGTCACAGCAATCGATTTTTTCTCTGAAGGATTTTCGCATTCTGTAAATCCAAACCGATTTTTTATGTCCTGAAGCTGCTGTAAAATGGCAGTGCCTCGATAATTTTCCGACTATCAAATATCTGTCACTTCTCGATCCTATATAAACTCCATTGTTATCAGAAGACTGACCGTTTTTCCCCGCCCCAGGTCGGGTCGGGAGGCACCCGGCAGACCGCCCGCCCTGCGCCGCTCCTGGATGAGCGCAGACTCCGGGCCTGGCCGGCGCAGCGACGACGACCCCTCGGACTCGGAGAGGAGCGAGCGCCGGACGGCCGGCGGCGACGCGCCCGCCCGGCCCAAGGTGGCGCTGGCCAGCCGCTCCAAGAGCAAGTTCTGGTTCTGGGTGGAGGAGCCCGTACCGCGCAGTGATGATGACGAGCCTCCGGCCGCCGAGCGGACCGCCAGTCCTCGCACGCTGCGGGACGGCCGCCGCGTACAACCGCTGGAGTCCTCTTCCTCCTCCGAGGAATCTGAGGAGGAGGATGAGGCGCCGCCGGCCGGGAGGACGCTCCGAGACGGTACCGTCCTCCCGCCGGCAGAGTCTGACTCGGACCGCACCCCGCCGGCCGAACAGAAAACACCGGCCGGCCGAACGGCAGGTCGACCGGCGGCCAAGAAGGCGAACAAGACGCCGGAGCCGGCCAGCAAACAGGCGAGAGAGGAGGCGCGGAAGGACGAGAGCAGCTCGGAAGAGGAGGAGAGAGCGCCGCCGAGGGGCAGGGAGAGGCGCGGCTGGCGGCAGGCGCGCCGGCCGGGCTCGGCCGCCGCGGGGAGGGACAGGACTCCGGTACCGGCCGCGGCCAGGGAGCGGCGGAGGGCGCGCCGGACGGCCGGCTCCAGCTCCTCGGAGAGTGAGACCGAGACGAGCCGCAGCACCACCCGGGAGGCCAGTCGCCAGCGAACGGCGCAGGCCAAGGCAAAGACCCGCCAGCCGGACAGTAAGGTGCCCAAAGACTCCCCGGGACCAGCCAAACAGTCTGGAGCGGAAGCGAAACCGGCTGTCAAGAAGAATAGTACGCCAGCGAGTAGAAGAAATAATGTCTCATCGGATGAATCTAGCAAAAAAGAGAAGGTAAATCCTCCGAAACGCGCTGTATCTAGTCAGAGGAAAAAGCCTGTCTCTAGTTCGGAAGATGAAAGTGAAGGCAAATCGAATCAAAAGGAAAAGCCGAAGACAGCTCGTGACGTTCGGCGCAGAACAGATCCCGGCTCTGTCAAAGGTGAATCCCCGAAACCGATTTCGGCGAAGAAGAGGCCGAACGGTCGGGCAGCGGTGCCCGCGGCGTCTCACTCGGAGCTGGAATCTCGGGATGGTAAGCCGGGCCGGTCCAAGCCCGCTGAATCGGAGGGGAGCAGCTCGGAGTCGAGCCGGGCGCCACCACCCCGGCGGGCGCCCCGCTCCGGCAGTGCCCGCGCGCCGCCGCCGCCGCGCCGCCCGCCGTCCTCCAGCTCTGAGGAGGAGCCGGCGGCGCGGCGCCCGCTGCGGGCGGGAGCAGGGACGGGGCGCCGCCGCTCGTGGGAGACGCCGCCGCCGCCGCCGCCGGCCGACGCTGCCAGCTCGGACAGCGAGCAGTCGGGACGGGTGACCCGCTCCCGGCGGCCCGAGTCGCTGCCGATCGCCGGCGCCGTCCGGAAGCGGGCGTTCGTGCCGGGCCGGCACGGCTGGGAGGACAGCAGCAGCGGCACGGAGGAGCGGCCGGCCAGCCGTCGCCGCGCGCCGGCGCATACCTCCAGCAGCGAGGAGCGCGCCTCGCCGCCGCCACCTCCGTCCGCCGACAAACCGCGCCGCACACTCCGGAAGCGCAGCGAGGCGTTCTTCTCGTACGACATTATCGATACGGACACGGACGATGATCTGATCAGCGTGATCAGACCTCGGTCCCGGCAGCCGGCCAGACCCAGTGACGCCGAGCGGTCCACTCCGAACACCGCGCCGGCGGTGTCCAGTACCGCGGGCAGCAGCGCGCCCCGCGCCGCCTCCGCCGAGCGGAGACCCACCGTGGAGAGACGGGAGGCGTCCTCGACCGCGGTGGAGGCAGGCGCCGGCACGGCCACCCCGCCGCCGGGAGCCAAGAGCGGTCTGAAGAGGGAGTCGTCGGTCACACGGCACTCAACCGACCGCGAGTCAAGCGATCGGACCCAGAAGAAGCGACCTCGGCCCTCATCGCCGTCCAGTAGCGCACGGCACACGCCGACTAAGAAAAAGAGCGTCTCGTCGAAATCGACAGACGGTTCGTTCCTGTCCAAACTGAAGGAGTCAGCGCAGCGGAGGATCAGTCGTCTGACCCAGCGGCGGGGCGGAGCGGCTCGCTCCGGCGGCTCGCTGGCCGACTCCCGGCCGGCCATGGGCGTGTACGAGTTCGATTCGGACGAGAACCTCTCCTCGCTCACATCCCTGCGCCAGTCGAGCGACGCCGTGAAGACCGTCTCGGAGGCGACGTCGACGAGCGAGGACAAGCCGCCGGCGGCGCCCGAGCGCTCCACCTGCACCATCGCCATCCAGGTCAACATGGACGAGGAGGTGCCGCCCGCGGACGTCTCCTCGGGCACGCAGACCCAGGCGGCGGCGGCGCAGCAAACAGACTGCTCCGTGCAGAGTCAGACCGAGGAGCCGACGGCGGCGGCAGCGGAGTCCAGCGCCGGCGGGTTGTCACCGCAGCCGGCCCGGGGAGGGTCGGGGGCGCCACAGCGGCCGCCGTCCGGCGGACAGGGACGGCCCGGGCCGCCGGAGGGCGCTGCCGAGGGATCGACCCAGTCGCCGGCCCAGCGGCGGGACCCGCCGTCAGAGTCTCCGGCTGTCTCCCAGCCGCCGGTACAGGCGGTGGTGACGGCTCCGAGTCAACCTCAGACGACTCAGACAGCGGCAGAGTCTTCCGTCCAGCCGGCGACTCAGCCCCCAGCTCAGTTAGTGACTCAGCCTCCCGTCCAGTCAACAGCTCAGCGTCCTGTCCAGCCTGCTGCCCAGGCTACACTTCAGCCCGCCGTGCAGCCCATCGCCCAGCCTCTGGTACACTCTCTGGCGCAGCCCCCGGTCCACTCTCTGGCGCAGCCCCCGGTCCACTCTCTGGCACAGCCGCTGGCCCAGCGCGCCAGCCAGCCGCTGGCGGCCTCTGCCGTCTCCCAGCCGCTGTTGGCGGCCGCGCCGCGTCTCATCATGCCGGTGTCTCTGCTGCGGCCTCCGTACCCGGTGGGAGGCGGTGAGGTGGGCGGCCGGCCGCTGCAGCTGGTGTCGGTGACGGCGCCTCGCTGCAGCGTGCAGCCGCCGCCCGGCCTGGTCCAGCACCAGCTGCAGCCGCCGCAGCCGCAGCCGACGGCGGCGCCACAGCCGCGCTTCCAGCAGGTGAGGGGATATGTGATGGTTGAGACCGTAAGTGAGGTTCTTTTAACGTTCCTAAAGCTGAATGAAGTCTTTGGCGATCGCTGCATCATTGGGTCGGCTATTACACTCTCCAGTAATAATCATTTTTTCTGAATGTAACGTTTTGCTGAATTATTTCATCCCACCTGTGTATTCCGTTTGTGTGACACGCCGCCGCCTCCTCTGCCAGGTGCAGTACCAGCTGGGCGCAGCCGGTCTGTTCGCCGCCGGCTCTCTGGCCAGCGGCTCGTACGGCGCCGGCCAGTACCCGCTGCTGCAGACTCCGCCGGCCGGCAAACGGCCACTGGCGCCCGCCACCTGGTCCGCCGGAGCCGCCTCCTCGGCCCCCGCGCCCGCCGACCGACTCGCGCCCATCAAACCCGTCCACCCGCACGGCGGCTCGGTGGCCGACTGGCGGCGGAGCGCCGACGCCGCCACCAGCGCGGCGGCGCGGTTCGCCTCGCGCGTGCCGCCGCCGGGCCTGATCCGTCTGCCGGCGAGCAGCGCGGCGCCTCCACTGCACTACCCGCTGCCCTACTCTGGCCCGCTGCTGGCCGGCGCGTCTCCGTTCGCGCCGCGACTGGCGCTGCTGGGCGCTTCTCAGCTGCACGGCACCGGTGTGGCGGTGCTGAGTGCGCCGCCGGCCCGGCTCGAGCCGCCGCCGCCGCCGCTGCCGCTGCCGCGCGTCCCCACGCCGCTCACCTCTCCGGTCGACAGCAAGGCGGCGGTGCGCGCCCAGCTCAGGCAGGCAGCGGCGTTCGCTCCGGCCCCGGCGGTGGCCGGCAGGGCGGACGGCGGCGCCGGCTCGCCGGCCGACGTCAAGGTTCCGCTGCCAGTGGTGCCGCCCGCGCCCGGGAGGGTCCCGGTGGCGCCCGTGCCGATGGCGCCGTCCAGGGACCGCTCGGTGCCGGGCCGGTCAGCTGCCGGTGCCGCGGGCCCGCTCGGCCCCGCTCCCTGGTCACCGGCCCACTCGGCCCGCTCGCTGGCGGTGACGACCCGACCCACCTCGGCGCCGACCGTCACTAGCTCCGCGGCGGCCACGGCTCCCTCCTCACGGCCGGCCAGCGCCACGCCGTCCCGGTCAGCCAACGTGGTATCCCCGGCGGCGGCGCGGTCCCTGGCGGCGGCGGCGGGGGCTCCGGCTCACCCTCTGCCCGTACCACCGGCGTCCCGCGCACTACCGGTACAGATCTCTGCTGTACCGCCCCGGGTACCTCCCCCAGCGCCGGTCTCAGCCCCCGCTCCGGCGCCGTCCGTCCCCGTCCCCGTCCCCACTCATCGTCCCCCTCAGGCCGCCGTCCCTGTCCAACCAGCGGTCCCGGCGGCGCCGGTCCGTGGATCAGCCGCGGGCGCGGCCCAGACACTAGCGTTAGCCGCTCCACCGCGGACTCCCGCCCGGCCTGCAGCGACTACGGAGAAGCCAAGTGCCAGCACCGTCACCGCGGGACCCTTGCCACCGGTTTCAGAGGTACGAGCCCAGCCCTCCGTCCCGTCTCAGAAGGTCCCCGCCGCTCCAGCTGCGACTGCGGCGCCGTCTCCTGCCGTGGTACCGCCTCTGACGAGCAGTTCAGGAGCCACCAGTACTGCGGCGGCGGTGGAGACTGCAGGCAGCGGAAAAACGGAGAGCCGACCGCAGAAACGACCCGCTGAGAAGACGCCGTCTTCCAAGACAGCTCCGTCCGCCAAGAAGGCTGCATCAGTGTCAGCCGCGACCGCTAGTCCAGCAACCTCAACCTCATCAGAGACCCCCTCCACACCCGCTGCCACAAAACCCACACCCAAACCCTCATCCAAATCCTCCGACCGACCCACACCAGTTCCCAAACCCTCTCCCAAGTCCAGTCCGGCCGGCCGGCCTCCTACCTCCGCCGCGCGCGGTAAGAAGAAGACCGGTGACGAGGCGGCCTCGTCGTCCTCGGATGCGGAGCGGCTCTCGGCGGCGTCTCCAATGTCGCCGGCGGCACGCGGGAGGCGCCGGTTCGACCGCGAGGAGGACTCTGGCAGGGAGTCGACGCCGCAGAGCAGGAGGTCCTCGCAGAGCCCCGCGCCAGCCAAGTGAGTGAGATCGTCACACGAAGGAAGAGGTGATGTTTGTAACTTGCTTGCTATTCTTGCTTTTTTCAGTAATACTTGGCTCCACTCGTGCAGTATTTATTGATTATTTAAATTCCATTAGTTGACACACATGTCCTGCTATGACTCTAAGTGCACAAATTAGTCCAATTCCTCTTCCACAAACCAACCATATTTCTCATGTAGCCTCCGTTGACGGTCTCGAGCTCGCCAGTGAACTGCTCTAACTGTCCCCATGTCTCACCTGACCCTCTCTCCCTTCCCGTACGTCAGGCGGGCGCGGAAGGTGTCCACGATGGAGCTGGGCGTGCTCCAGGAGGTGCCCGTGTTCCGTCCCACCGAGAAGGAGTTCTCCGACCCGCTCCGCTACATCGAGAAAATCAGACCCGAGGCCGAACAGTACGGGCTCTGCCGCGTGGTGCCGCCGCCAGGATTCAAGGTATTAGACTTCGTGAAACATTTACTGTCTGGGGTGTGGGCTGAGGGCTCGTTTCTTCAGTTGGATGGTTTGAAAGCTTTTAATGGGGACTGGTTGTTCATTTTAATAGCATGGATCGCCGCCTCTAGAGGAAGGTACTTCACGTATGCCACACAGACCACAGGAAACTGATATTGGTGGTGGCCTGGCATTTAGTCAACTAGGACCTGAGTGTCTCGATGTTTGTTTGTTGACTGCTCCCTACCGTATTCTAAGCGCGTCCTCTGCCCGCCTTTCCCCAGCCCGAATGCCGCGTGGACGACGACATGCGTTTCGTGGCGTACAACCACTACGTGCACAAGGTGTTCCGCCGGTGGGGGCCCAACTTCCGCGAGCTGCTGGCCATCCGGCGGTACCTGGAGCAGCAGCAGATCGACATGGACGACCTGCCGCTGGTGGGCGGCATGGAGATCGACCTGCCGGGCCTCTACCACACCGTGCAGAGACTCGGAGGGCTCAACGACGTGATCGCCGGCCGACGCTGGCCGGCCGTGGCCGATCTGATCCACATGCCCAAGTGCGCGCAGGACCGGGCGGTCAAACTGGAGCAGATCTACCTCAAGTACCTGGTCGGGTACACCATGCTCACGGAAGGTAAGAAAGCGGAGGAACGATCTAGGAAGGTGGGAGGTAGCGTGACAACTTGGTCGATGTTGGAGGTCGGGTGAAGTTAGTAGTGTAACAGCATAGGGCTAGTTGTCGCTACACACAAAAAAAAAATAAAGTAGAAAAATAAAAGGCTGTCTTGATTCGTGTGCGAAAACCAGAAGACGAAAATTAATTTTGCCTCAGAATATTACTTGAGAACATTCATCGTGATATGAATGCTTATAGCATTTAATAACTAGCCTGCTCACGTCTTAAACTCCCTCCTTCGTGACAGCAAACAATGTCTCGCAATGAACGTTCTATAATAACAGCAACGCTTTCCATGCCACCCCATATTCTCAGACGAGAGGAAGCGCCTGCGCACGGAGGTGGAGACGGACTGGCACCGGCGCGAGCAGCAGGCCCGCTGCCGGCAGCTGCAGACCGACGACGAGGACGAACAGGACAGTGACGAGGATGACGACGACGCCGCAGAGTGCATCGTCAAGGTACGGGAGAGGGAATCGGGGGCGGGCCTGGGATTCGGAGACGGGTCAAATGTGTGGGCATATATCGGCGTCGTAAGTGCTTATGATATCATGGGGGCAATGTGTAAAGGTTATCTTTTTTCGTGGTTGGTATCTAGACAGGGTGCTGCTTTTCTGCTGGCTGTGGGTGCCTATCTCATATCTGGTTTATGTTTATGCCTTATGTGCTGTGTGTTTTACATGCCCAGCTGAGTTAATATGTGAATTGTGCTAGATATCGTGGTTGTGTCGCATTACTGACAGGTAATTGTCTTCCCGTTCGTATTCCGCAGGGTAAAACGGTCAGCCTGGGCGCCTTCTACCGCGTGGCGAGGAACACCGCCTCGCTGCTGTTCAAGCAGAGTGACCCGAAACCGGAACTGGTCGAGGATGAGTACTGGAAGGTATGTGGACCATCACACAGATTGAGTAACATCGGCAGAGAGTTCAATGGTCGGATGTAACCCGTGGATCAGTGACCGTAATCTGTCAAATGAAAACTTTTACTCGTAATTTTGCGGTCGTATTGAGCTTTCCCTGTCAGTTCTCCTAGATCCATTCAAATGTTGCCCACACTCGGCTCTGGCTGACTGCTGTCAATCAGTCTCAACACGCTGCGGAGCTTGTCATATTATTTAGAGCCTGTCGGTAACTGACTAGTTTGCCAGTCGCCTGTCACAACCTGTCATCGTCCTGTCAGAATCTGTCACCACCTGGCTAAACCCTGCTATCTGTCAACCATACCGATAACTCTACCGTATCTTCCACCAGCGCTCAACTAACCCCGACCCTCCCCATCCGCTCAGGTGGTGAACGAGCGGGACCGGCACATCTGCGTGTACTCGGGCAGCGTCGACTGCGGCGCGCAGAGCTACGGCTTCGTCTGTGACAAAAAGTCGCAGACCTCGCGGCTCGCCTGGAACCTGAAGGTGCTCAGCAACAACCCGGGGTCGATCCTGCGCTCCATGGGACAGGTCATGGGTGAGTCTCCTTATAGACAAAGTTTTGGTTCTTACTGAAGTTCAATGGGTTTCCGGTGCTAGGCTTATATGCTGCTGCTGTTGCTGCTTTATTTTCATGAGAATGAACTATTACAGCTGCTCGAAACCTCTCCCTCGAACGCCAGAAATAATGGCTCATCAGTAATGCATCATAGTTCGTGTAAGTGATTAATTACTTGTTCGCTCCTCGAAAGTCCCACATTTCCCAGACTGACCACTGAGCAACTGATCGTGTTTTATCCCCCTGCAGGTGTGACTGTACCGACTGTGCACATGTCGATGGCGTTCACCACCGGCTGCTGGTACTCGGACCCGCACTCGCTGCCCTGGATAGAGTACCTCCACACCGGGGCGTCAAAGGTTGGTAAACTCACATCCCCAAATATGTGCGCAGCTTAGAAGAGGCATCAGTGAAGTAACCATTTCCGGCTGGCAATGCAATAAAACATGTGCCATGACAGTATCTCCTCAACTTCGTACTAGTCGCTGCTGTATAGGTCGACAGTACCACTCCATGGAATGGCGCCGTTTATTCAACACTGGTGTCTTTTCTCGCCCCAGCCGTCTCAGGCCTAGACTGACATCGCTTCCCCCGCTGTTCCAGGTGTGGTACTCTGTGCCGGCCTCGGGCGGCGAGGCGCTGCGCCGGGAGCTCACCGAACTGATGCCCGGATACCTGCGACAGCACCCCGTGTGGCTACCCTCCGATACGGCCATGGTGCCGCCCGACCTGCTGGCTGATAGGGGGTACGTACTGACACTCTGACACCGAGACTGACACTGACACGACCGCCCGACCTGCTGGCTGACCGGGGGTACGTACTGCGACACTGGCACCTCACACGTGATACTCGACACATGACGTGTGAAAGTGACACAGCGACTTATGACACGACCGGTGTCTACCGACAGAAAGGTGTGCACTCGGTACTCTGTACGTACGATGTCAAAGGGCCTTGATTTGTATCTGTCCGTCGTCCCCGTGTCCCCTCAGCGCTCCGGTACCACCGACCCATCATCACTGCCCTGTCCCCGCTCCCCCCACCCTTGGCGTGCCGGTGGCTGACTGTTTTTGTCCCTCACCTGCCGCCCTGACCTGACCCCGCTCGGTCCCGCAGCGTTCCTGTGGCTCGCGCCGTGCAGCAGCCGGGCGAGTTTGTCGTCTCGTTCCCCCGCGCCTTCACGGCCTCGGTCGGCACCGGCTACACGCTCTCCGAGTCGGTGTTCTTCGCCACGCCCGACTGGCTCGCCTCCGCCACTGACGTCTACGATAAGGTGCGTGATTGAAATGAGAAACCGTTAGTGTCCCCTGTCCCCTGTCACAGAGGAACGGAGATCGACCCAGTGGAAGTGGGGATGGTAGGATTCGTGGGATATTATGACGGTGAATACCCAGATGCTGATAGATCATTGCGTTTTACGTTAGAAGGTATAAATTTGTGTGTGAAAGGAGCTTCTTGGTAGGTGGGATAGCAGATCCGAGTTGTGTAAAGGCTCAGTTAGTTGTTTGAATGGAAGTGCGTTTTTCCTCTTGGTTCCATTTAGCACTGCATCAGAGAGTTTTAGTCTATTGGTAATATGTTTCCATGCCGCTGCGATGATTTGATGGCGTCTCAGATCTCACTCAGCAGGATGCAGTGATAAAACCCTCTCTCCCGCCCGTCCACCCGCAGCTGAAGTTGAGCGGCGAGCCGGGCGTGTTCTCGCTGGACCGGCTGGTGCTGGGCGTCTGCTCTGACCCGCGCGCTTCGCTCGAGGCCCTGGCCCGCTGTCAGCCGCTGCTGCTCGACCTGCAGCGGCAGCAGCACGAGCAGCAACAGCGACTCCAGCAGCTCGGTACGGACGGAGGGCGAACAGAGGCGTAATGGGGGATGGGAGGGTGGAAGGGGTCCTTGTGTTATCAATTATCATGAGTTGGGCTAGCTATATCAAACATTATTGTTCAGTTGATTGGTGATGTCAGCTGATCCCATGCTTTGTGCGTCTGTTTTATAGGACATTTTCTTGCTCGGTATATGTTAACGCTAAACGACTTTGAACCCGTTGCGTGATCAGACGGTAGTATTTATTCTCTCCCGGTTTCAGGCATCACCGACCCGGTGAAGATATCGGCCAAGAAGGGGGGCCGGTCGCGCAAGTCGGCGGCGCTCGAGGAGGACGACAAGGAGTGCGACGTCTGTAGGAGGACGCTCTACTCCGCCATGGTGAGTCTGCGCGGCACTGTGACTCTTGGATTGACTCTGACTGTGGGGGACTTGGCTGTGATGTGTCTGCTCCGCTCTCCGTCTCTTTGACTAGGTATTGAAATACGCTCGATTCAGCAGACGGCCCTAAAACTCCTCTTTTTCGACCTAGATCGACTCTGATCTGGCTGTGGGACAGGAATTGACTTTTCCCTAATTTTCTTTCAACCGTGTTTCACCGGCGGTTTGTTATTAATCTTCAGCCTTGCTGACCGAACGCTGATCTCTGTAATACCCTCTGACCCTGCACTGACCTCTGACCCGTCGGCAGGTCGATAACCCCTCCGAGAGCGTGGTCTACTGTCTGGAGGATGCCGCCGAGCTGCTCAGAAAGCCCGGCTCCAAACTCGAGGGGCTCAAACTTCAGCTCATGTATTCTCAGGTGAGCATTGATAAGTGTGGCGGACTAAGCTGGTGCATCTCTGCCCTATAACTTTAAGGATTTCTTTTGGTTATATGTCGCGGTATTTTGCTGTGTAGATGTAGCAAGGTACTCGCCGTGGATTAGCATAATCTCTCGAAAATGAAATACGATAAAAAGCTTAGGTATGTGGCTTCGGACCGTACACTGAGCAGTGAGCATGCAATTCTCGCATAAGGACGATAAAACGAAGCATTGTATGTTTTTTTTTTCATTTCGAATGTTTTGTATGCATTCGTCATTGTTTTTGGCAATAACCGAGTGCCGTTCGATTTCAGAGCGATTTCGAGGAGCTCATTCATCAGGTGGACGAACGGATCGCCGAGCTCGGATCGAAACAGAGCTCGGCCAAAAAGAAACAGAAAAAGTCGGCGGCCTGAGCAGCTGCTGCGGCGCCGGCGCCTGGTGATGATCTCAGGGGATAGAGGTGGGCCAGTACCGGCCGCCAGAGCCGCCGGTACTGCAGCCGCCGCCGCGTTACGAGTACTTAGTTGGGTCGCTGCACCGCCGACCTGTACAAACCAACGACGCATGCTAGTGTTTTAGTGCGTATATTAAGTTGTGTGACAATAATTACGCGGGCATTATTTTCGATTGTCCGAATTTTCCAGCCAAACCAGTGAGCTGTCGATTTGAGCTGTTTTTATGTCGAGTCTCGTCTTTTTTAAGATTGTGTGGAAATCGTGTTTGGTAATTGGCACTGGACAGTTCATTGCTGCGTGTTTCTTATATTCTTATTATGTCGGGCGGGGCTCGCGGCTGTCTCGCCATGTTGTAATGCGCGGAGGTCCGGGGATATCGAGGGTTGTCGGTTGCGGAGAGTGCCCCCGACCGGCGGGGCCCCGACTCTCACAGTTCGAACAGGAACTGACGGAGAATCAGAGAGAGAATGTGTGCTTTCATCGATAGGCCTGCTGAGCGCTGTCTGGCCGCTGCGTTGGTGAGAGGTCTGTGTTGGCTCCCGGCGTCTCGCGTGTCCCTCTGTCTATCCCCCCTCTACCTGTGCCCCTCTGTGCCCGTTGAGCCGCTGTTCGGACCCCTCCCCCCGCCCCGCCCCGCTCTTCGCTGGGAGGGCTAGGTGACGCGGTCCCTGCCGGCGGCGGTGACGCGCGAGACTGTCTTTCCCGGTCGGAGAACAATATATAGCGTAGACTATATGCCCCGTGTGTGTGCATGACGTAGGGGGGGGGGGGGGACTGCAGCAGCTCGCGGGAATGGTCGACTTTATAACTGATGTTTTGTGGTTAGTTCACGGCCATCACGGCTCGTTTGAGCTTGCTGCATGGACAAGAGCTTGCGCTCTGACCATAAAGTAAAAATGGAGTTACGAATACGAAGGCCATGGTTTACTTTGAACCATAATGAAAACTTCCCTTTTTAATTATACGATACATTTGTGTAGAGCGAGGGACTTTTCACGTGCGCATATGCAACGAGGATATTCACATTATCATGCCGGGCTCTTGGGAAATTATTTCATCGTTTATTTATAATGCGTATTCGAGGGACTGGAGGCGCGCTCTGTTGTTATCTGTTGCAGTGACAACGTGCATTATATAACTTCACTAAACGCTCCGATATTAATTTAGCTCAAAGCCGCGTGTAATTTGGAATGTAGCTACACCCAACACCTTGCATCTAACCCATTGATGAGTTGAACGGTGAACAGTGAGATGAAGATCTGAGAATTAGCCATCCCGGACCCAGGACCGGCAGATCGAATAGGCCGTGAAGCTGGGCGTGGCAGCAGCAAGTTGGACGATCTCCAGGTCACTGGAGGTCACCGAGAGAGAGGTGTAAGCAAAGAACGAAAATGCGTTATCTTTCCCTCTCCCTCTCTCTCTCTCTCTCTCTCTCCCTCTCCCTCTCCCTGCTCTCTCTCTCCCTCTCCCTCTCTCTCTCTCTCCCTCTCCCTGCTCTCTCGGTCGGCGGCCGTCGCCCTCGACATGATTGAGCTGTATGGCTGCCGGCCCCCCGGGGTCCGCCGGGCCGCGGGGGGCCGGCCGCCCCGCCGGGAGGGGAGGGAGGGGAGGGGCGCAGCCACCTGACAGCTAGTCGCGGCCGCAGTCGGCCGGCGGAGACGGCAGGGGAGAGAGGAGGAGGGTCAGGGTGACCTCGGGTCAGGGAGAGAGTGGAGAGGGAGGTGTGACGTCGGGTCAGGGAGAAGTGAGGAGTGGACGGTGGCGTCGGCGTGTCAGAACGAGTGTTTCAGTCCACTGTATAGTGATTTGACATGGCACGTCCGCTGGACTCCGGAACGGTGAAGTGAACCTCGAGGAAGATAAGCTCGAACTGACCATGGGTCTATCCTACCCTGGCGTAGTTTGTGCATTTCCTAGCCTGGCCGTTTATTATCCGTGATCCGTCTCCCAAATCCATGAGCCATTCGTGAACGTTTGAGTGAAGTCCTCTCAGCCCAGTCGCTCCATAGATCTGCGACGAACGCCCCCCCCCCCTCCCCCCGGACCCTTGGAGCCCCCGGCGGTGTCGGGGGAGCGACCCGACCTGACGGCTCGGCTCCGACGGCGCTGCTCTGGGCGGTCCAGCCGCTCCGCCGGCGCGGCGGCCGGCGGCAGTTCCCTGTCGGTGGCGGCGCCGCGGGCACGTGGAGCGCGGAGGACAGCGTGCGAGGAGAGCGACGAGCGTAGATCTTTGAACCGGGCCGGGACAGTGAGATTGGCTTTGGGGGACAGTGCATTGAGGTGTTAGGTATGTGATGGCTAAGGCGGAACATTGGCTGGACGTGATGTGTGACTGATGAGGTGCGAGGGTCGAGGACAGACATAGTGACTGTCGCTAAACGTGGAGACCAAGACGGACACCGAACCAAGTCAACTAGCCCCAGCCGGAGCTCCGGAGTCGACATGACAAGACGGAAACAGGCGCAGCCGCGCGCCTTCAAGCGTGAGTGCACCCCGTACTCCGTAGAGAGGGGATGGGGCGAACATCAATGATAATGGGTCGTATGAAGTCACTGCTCGTTTAGCGGGTGAGGGGAGGCCGCGAATCAGTTGATAATCATTCGAGATATGTCACATTTAATGAGATTCTGACATCACCGCCATGACTTGAAACCAAAGCGTCAACGTTGTAAGTCGGAACACGCGTCGCTCGACGATAAGGTATCGATATTTGCATCTCAAAAATCTGATCTGATTTGCAGCCGTTCTGTAAAAACCAATAGCGATGAGCTACAGTCTTCTTCAAATTCACAAATAATGCCTTTTCCAGTGTTCCTCGTTCCTCTATTCTATGAAGTGTTTTATGTGATGTATTTGGCAGCACAAAATATTGCACGATTTTTGCGTTCTATTCGAAATGCCGAATAATGCCAACCTTGACGTAAACAAACAAATGCGCACGTGGTCATCCATTTTCTTGTTTCTGACGGAGAGTGGGGAGGGTGGGTCTTCATGCCGTGTTTGCATGTTTTTAACATTTCTGTACGCCTTTTGGTAAGTCTTGTCACGTCACCTCGTGGTCTTTCCGTCTGTTTTCCACTCAGCAGTCATGAATCCATAGGCAAGTCATTTTTCGCCGGACATCCACGTTTTCGCCGCGATTGTTATTACAATTTCTGATGGACGGTGAATGTCGGTCGTGATGTCTGATTTGAGCTGTGGCTGTCACTGCCGTCGCCGTCCGACCGTGACCCCTGACCGTGACCTCTGACCCCGGCAGCGGAGGAGGACACGGCGTCACCGTCTGCCGACGTGGCCCGCACTCCGGATGGGGACCGCCCGGAGTCCGGACTGGACCTGCCCGCACTCCCGGAGACCGGTGAGTGCCGTGCACGGTGTGCCCGGGTGCGTATTCGCCAATTGTATTACACGAATCGGCCCATCAACTAGCGACATCTCTAGTGCGACGTCATAGCCATCCGCCGCGACAATGCATGCATTGAGGCTAGATTTGAGTTGAGACTTTTTTGGAATTGTATATGGCTATTACACATGTATGTGTCGCCGTAGCCGAGTAGTTAGAGTCTCGGTGTGGTGGACGAAAGATCGGTGGATCAAGACCTTGCTTTAGCGGTTCTTTTCTCTTAAAAAGAAGTCGGTCGTAGACGCGCATTTTTGGCCCCTACGTTCGCACGCCAATATCGTACGCCCAATAAATCTCTGACAAGTATTCATCTGATTAAGGAATAAGTTGCAAAAGAACTGCAGTTGCAGTCTATACCTGAACTACCAATTTTGTTACGGCACTGTCGATATTCGTCAAAGTCGGAAAAGCTATTATGAAACACACTCGAATGACAACGGATTCCTGTATTATTTCATGGATCAGATAAGACATGTATAGAGATAAATTGATAACAGCCCGCCGTGAGCATGCAACTTAACAACCAGTCCCAAGTTATCTTCATAAACGTCTAATATAATTTATAAATCTTAAAGGAAATAGTTCACATTTTAACATGGGTTTTGAACTGGAATAGCAGTTCCGTAGCTTGGGCTGAGACGAGCATAAATCAGGAGCTTTTACAGCCCAACGATCACCCTAGGCAAAGATATTCTATTTCTCGTCCCGAAAAATGTGTCTTGCGTTGAGGATGTGTGCCTTGCATATATTCGCATCCAGTATGAAACGAGCATGGGTCCCTAAAATTCTTCAGAAACTAGAGAAATTATCTACGAGAACTCTAGAGAAATTCGCTCCAGTGAGGCGCTCCAGTAACAAAAGCACGAGCAGATCGCCCAAATGCCGGTGGCCGCGATAATTTCTCTAGTTTTGATGAATTTTCGGGACCCATGCTCTTTTCATACTGGATCGCGTGTGCCTTACAGAAACTGAAAAGTTCTTCCTATATCAAAAATATAGAAAATAATCTTTTGTTGTAAAAAGGTTTTATTTTCTTTGCTGATCATTTTGAACATAAAAAATCACAAATCCATTGCAAAAAAAAAAAAAATTCGTGAAAGTGAACTATTTCCTTTAACCCGCGCCCCACTGGGGGGGGGGGGCTATTTATAGCCCCCCCTCCCGTTTTTCTGCAATAACTTCCAAACCGCTTGACGGATCGACGCCAAACTTTCAGTACCTTCGGCTGCATCAATTTGACACCTTGTGTCAAAATTTGAACTTCGTAGCTACCATAGGTCGGCCGGAAATGACGTCAGAGTGACGTCATGTTCGTCCGATTTCGACGCAAAACATTGAACCACGGCAATCGCTCCCAAGAGCTCAGTTTTTAAGCTAGATCCAATTTCTTTGCATGAAAGAACTCAGAATTGACCGCGCTATCAAACTGCTATCTCGGATTTTCAAAATTTTGAAAATTTCGAAAAGTTTATATAATAATATTCAAAATTTATATTTTTATATTTTTTTCAAAAAGTTTTTGACTTTTCGAAAAAACCGGAATATATGTGACAGAACGCATGATTATGACTAACTCTAGCAAGTTTTAGCTAAATATCTTCAAAAATGGCCAAGTTATACGCATTATTGCAAAAAATTCACAATTATTAATTTTTCAAATCAATTTTTCAGTACGTATTTGGCATCGTACACCAATATAAATGGCACCATCGTGTTCCTGAGCTCAAACTGCATCCAATAGACACCTTTTTTGTTGAAAAATTTCAACTTCAAAATTTGACCTTTTTTGACCTGAAAGTGACCTGACCTAAGCTAAATTCGACTCCAAATGACCTCGAATGACATAGACGACATCAAATTTGAAATCTATGGCCTAAATGGACCATAAAACATGTGTCACGTGACCGACGCATGATATAATATTTTCGTGACCTGTGATGACCTGACCCTGACCTGAAAATCAAAGTACAAGTTTGGTACCCTCAAGGTATCTAGAGCATCTGTTCACGAGTGTGGAAACCAAAAATGAGCCTGATCTGACTTGTAAGACGGCGGCCAGAGCCCAAAATGTGAGCAAGCCAAAGTGCTAATAATTTTTACTTTGACCTGACCTGTGACGTCATCGGTGACCTCGAGCTCAATGAAATTAGGTTTCGCTCGACAGTTTTTCCGGGGCTATCAGACGCCGTTTGAATTTTGACGATCGGCCCAGTAGTTTCGGAGTTAGGAGGGGGGGCTATGAATAGCCCCCCCCCAGTAGGGCGTGTTATACACAGACCCCAGTGGGGCGCGGGTTAAGGGGACTTAGGTATCCCCCTGGCGGCTGAAATGTAAGAGTTATAGTTAGGGCATAGCTCCTATAGATGACGCTCTGACGGCTGGAAACTGATATCTCGTCCCGTGATTACGCTAACAGCTATGCCGAACTTTTTTTGTGCATGGTGATTCTTACACGAAAAGCTATGCTTACCAGCGTGCGATTTTTACTTTTCATCTTAGTTTTCGCTACTTTTAGGTACTTTACCTTGCCAAGTGCCCACCTACTTTCAAAAGGTCAGCGCCGCCCCTGTCAATGCTGCGTGCTATCACCCATTGGCAGTGAGAAATATTAATCAATGAATGGCCATCGTCCAGCACCATTTGTCTTTCCATTGGCTACGTTCGCATAGTATGCACTATGCATTAGTGATGTCAATCACAGAAAATCAGAACACCGCTACAAAACCAAATACAAACAAAGACCATTGGAAAATACCGAAACCGAACCAATCGGTTGGACTGCAAATATCTATCTTATGCAACATATTCATTAGAAGAATGCCTACGTCTGATTTCTTAGGTGCACGCCGTTGCAAATGTATAAAAAACGCACAATGACAGATGACACGAAAATCGAAGTCGCCGAGTGGATTCGAACCACCTACCTCGGAATCACCAGTCCGATACTCTAACCACTTCGCCACGGCGACAACATGCTCTAGACAGCTTAAATGTCATTAAGTTAAAACCTAGCTTCAATAGACGCCACCAAGGGCGAGGACCGAAAGTATGACGCCACGCTGACGTCACTCAGGAGGCACGCTATTGGTCGGCCGATTCGTGTAATACAATTGGCGAATACGCTGCCCGGGTGCGAGCGCGAGTACCCAAGATTCTTCAAGATAAGGCTGGGGCCCGTAGTCACATGGTTGTCAGTACCACGACTTGCTATAGTACGGGATGGGTCGCAACGGACATCCACAATTTCCCTTGCCGATCGTCAGTGTTCGTCGACTCTCCATTCATTACCACGTCGAGGTCGCGAGTCATTTACCCTTTCTTTTTGTGTTGGTGTAGCGGTACGCAGCAGATGGATGCCGTAATGACGGTTTGCTTAGCCCGTGATCCCGCTCCCCGTATACCCATTACCCACGGGCCCACGGTAGTGTCACAGCATTTAGCTATACCGGGCACACCCTCAGTAAATCAGCCTTGGCTCTGTTTATCGTTCAGAAGTCATAACACACTATATAACTGATAACTGGAGTTGTCAAAACTGTGTCGCCTTATCACCGGGCGAATCATAACTACCGACTGAATGGTGTTTCCACCATGGTCGTCACATATCGTAATCCAGGCCGGCTTTCCGACCACTTCAGTCAAACTGACCAGCAGGCGAAGCCGGTGTTCGCCGCTCGTAAACTTCGCTCTGTGTGTCCACAGTTCTTATCCATTGTTTCGTCGTTGGGCCCGCATGTGATGAGACTGGCATTTCCTTGCCATGTCGACAGTTTCCGCCGCTCGCTTTAGGATGGGGTGACCTTTAGCAGCGTTCCTTCGATGCCGTCTTATGGGATCATGCAAATAACGCCTGAGGCTGACGAGACCTGACCCGACAATCCTCCTCGGTCATTCGATGTCTGGTATGTGACCCCTCGTCGCATCCGTCGTCTTTTATCATTAGGACAACCGATTCTCATCTTTGATCATGCTTCCTTTTTCCGGGCTGACTTTCATCAGTTCAAACCGCCCGACAGCCGATTGTGGGCCGGTTCCCATTGGAGCTCAGCGTACTCCTCTGGGGTGACCTTTTGCGCAGCCGGGTGACCTGTCTGTTCCACCGGGGCGTGCCTGTCCCACGGGAACGGCTCAGCCGCCGCGGCGCACAAGCTGGTTATCGAATCAGCCCAATGTCTCCCCTTGGCCTTATCCCTTCACCCTTCATCCCACTCTGTCCTGTGACCGGATGTAGCGTTTCCTGGTAAAGGCCTTGTGCTAGTCAACAAGGGACCTGAAGTCACTACATCTACCGCATTGTTAACTTATACCATCCCCGACACATGTCACCTGTTTGTCTACTCACCTCATGTCTGCTGATGTGACCTCAGGTCACGCCCTGACCTGCCGGTGACCCAAGGTCAGGCGGTGTGTCCGCCGGCGCGCGGCCGGCCGGCCGGTCGGCGCGGGGGCGCCGGCGGCGGCCCTGCAGGAGTATTGAACGCCGCCGGTAGGTCCCGCGGGAGGTCGACTGGGAATTCACTGGGACTGAGGGCCCCGCGGGACCCGCGCCGCCGCCGCCCGCCGGTCGATACGGCCTCACAGCGGCGCGCCGCCTCCCGCCGCCGCGTGACCTCAGGTCCCCGGGGGGTCACCGCCGGGGGACGGGGCGGGGGGGCGCTGACAGCAGGGGAGAGTGGCGGCCCGGGCCGGCCAGATGGCCAGAGGTGCCTCTCGAGCACGCGCCGCAGCCGAGTCCAGACGCTGTGGCCGCTCTGGGGTCGGACAGGACCGGTGGAGCCGGTACACGGGCCGACCCGTCTCCCCGGACCGCCAACAGCCGAACTCGGTCCGGCGGGGCCGACCAGCCGCTCGATGCAGCGGACCTGGCGCTCCCGGCGGAGCTGCAGACGGCGGCCGAGGGCCCCGGGGCCCAGGGGACCCGCGGCTGCGCGCCCGGGGACCGGGGCCCGGCGGCG